AACAAGACATTTGAGGACGTCTTCTTGGGCTTTGGGAAACACCAATCATCACATTTCAGAATTTTCTGATATATAGATTTATAGATCAGAAAACAAATCGATTTAATCAAGGAAATAATTGACTGATCAATCGACAATGAAAATAATAGTCAGTTGCAGCCCTAAGTGGAAATCAGCCAATGTTAGCATGCTAACATACTTAACTTGGTGTATTGATGATGGTGAACATTGTTAACATTATATCTGCTAAACATCAACATGCTAGCACCTTTTTTTATGGCTCTGGCACAGGACGATGATGTCACCATTTATAAGGTCTGCTTTGCCCCGTTGTTTGATGTTTTTGTTTATATTTGTCTCTGTTCATAAGTGCGCCCAATCCAGTCAACAGCCACCAGTCCTGCCATCTCCATTCATGAACTAGGCCACACTGGAGCCACCAAGACTGAACGCACAGGCATACACAAGCTAAAGAGTGAGATAAAACAGGTGGGAAGCACAAATAAAATTTAAAAAACCTGGATAATAATCAGCGTGTCTTTGTAAATATGCTGTGGAATATGCTTCTCTCTCTCTGTCTCTTTGTCTCTATGTGAGTAGAATAACAGTGTTCTTGCTTTTGGTTGCAGCTAGATGACTCTCGGCCTCACAGTGTGGGTTGGGTTTGATAATATCTAGCATGTGACTGTTTCTGACGTCGGTCTATACAATCAAACCGCCGGCTAAGTCCTGCTTTTAAACCACTCCCTGTAGCTCCCTCCATAGCTGGAACAACTGTCACTTCATCACATATCAGCAGGAGAACATGCTTTGCTGGAAATTCATGAGCTCTTGAACCAATCCAGACTTTGATTCAGCTGCTTTAAGTAGTCCACGCTAATAACTCATTTTGTGATATCATGTCGGCGTGGAGTGGCGTTATTTGTTTGATGGACAGTCTTTCTTGTGATCAGCCATGCAGAACAGTTATTTTGTTTCCAAGAAGCTTTTCTCACTAGTTGTTTTTTGTAGAGTTGAATTAGACTACAGAGCAAACATGCTGGTAACATTATACTCTCTGTGGCTGCAGTAGAACCATGTGAACCATCTCAAACTATTCTCTGTCATCCATATTCATGTGTAGATCTTCAGCGGCAGTCTCTCTTTGAGTAGCAATGTCACATCTCCTCGCTCCACGGTAAAACATTTCACCTCACCTGCTTCAGACTTCAAACTTGGTTTGTTGTAGTTTGGTGTAGTAAGACACCAAAAACAACAATACATTTACCATACTATCAAGTATTATCTGTGTAGCCAAGGCCTGATATTGCTTGTGTCTGAACTTAACTGTTATGCAAAAACACATATTGGACAATCAATAGCACATGGCGATATATTCCATCATTGCAATAAACATGGCTGGTGTAGTTAAATCAGCATTTTCAAGTCTGTCCCTCTTTTGACAACCTGAGAGGAATAAACCACACTGTATAACACTAACATAGCGATATGTCAGCCATTGCAGCGCTATAGCTCTAAATAATTTGTGGAGGCATAATCTACCAAACAGGCTGTAGCTACACAGACAAGACTTTTAAAACTAAAGTAATTGTTTAGAGTAATTGTTAATAACACAAAAATAAAATTCAATAACACCAGCCTTGTCCATCAGTATGTCTGCTGAAGTGTCTCGCTTTGCCAAGTGTAATAGAGCATGATATCAAGATGCATGAATGATTGCATGGATTGTGTAAATAAGGATATGTGTCATTGTGTGTGTGTGTGTGTGTGTGTGTGTGCGTGCGTGAGACTACTACACTAAATATTTCAACTTTATGTATTTTTTATGGTATGACAAACCTGTTTTCCATTACTCTTGTCAGTACACTGTATCATGTCAAAAGGCTCTGTTCACCACCACAAATCATAAACCTGATAATGCAGTTATGTGCAGAATAGAAGGAAGACTGAACTAATCATTCTGTTATAGGGGAACCCGATTTTACACATCTAAGTCTGTTTACAGGTCTTGAAGAGTTCTACTGCATATGTGTAAAGTGTTAGTTGGATCTGAAGACTGGTTTGAAAATAAAAAAATGGGGATGTGGCATTAGAAAGAAGTGAAGCTAGTGGCTTGGTGCTAAACTAGTTGCTGCTAGCATAACATACCTGCCTCCCCAACACAACTGTTGTCAGTTGAGTTGTATTGTGGGTAATGTAGGCACCGCGACTTTTGACACTTTTTAAAACTTTTTTTTGACCATCCATCATGAGTCCAACAATGTAATAAGAATGCAGTGCAGGAGCAGAATTTGTATGGTTTGACCATGGCTTGGATGCAAGCTCCAACAGTGAAAAGAGGGAAGTGGCCTAGGAAAAAACTGCAGTTTTGCCTGCCTGTGTGGTACAGACACTACTGACAAGTGTAATGGTGTAAAGAAGGAATACAGTACATTTTATGATATGTTCTTACCACAGCGTTGCAGCAGCCCCTCCACTCCCAGTGGGATCCTGTCTCCAGTGGGCCCTGGCCCAGGAGATGGACAGCTGCACTGGGAGGAAAGACAGGGCCAGTGGCTGAGGAGACGCAGGCTGGATGGCGCAATCAACAGAGTACCAATGGGTTTCTACCAGAAGGTCTGGAAGATCCTGCAGAAGTGCCATGGCCTGTCCATAGATGGATATGTGTTGCCCTCTTCTACCACGAGAGAGGTAGCATCTCACAGACTTGCAGCTAAAGCTGGATTTAGGACTATCTGTGTGGATGCATGGATGTAGATGTTTTTAATTCTGTGTTTTCTGAGTAGATGACAGAGGGCGAGATCAAGTTTGCAGTGCAGGTGGAGTCCGTCCTGAACCATGTTCCTCAACCAGAGTACCGACAGCTGCTAGTGGAGACCGTGATGGTTCTAGGCCTGGTAGCTGATGTGGATGTGGACAGCATCGGTGGCATTATCCACGTGGACCGCATCCTGCATTTGGCTAATGACCTGTTCCTCAGTGACCAGGTACTGCTACTGTCAAGAGATACTTTTTTGTTTGAAAGGATGTTCATGTATTTGTGCATTTTCACCGGGGTTCACTCTGTTCTACCTCTGCATCCCCAGAAATCCAACAGTGCCATTGATTATTTCCTTGAGAAGGACCCAGCGACAGGAATCTGCAACTTTTTCTACGATAGCGCCCCCAGTGGCAGCTATGGCACCATGACCTATCTGTCCAAGGCGACAATCACTTATGTCCAGGACTTCCTGCCAAGTTCCAGCTGCCTGATGCAGTGAAAAACCTGACTAGTGTGTCTCGCTGCTCCTGACAAACACCTGAAGAGACACATTTTGTAACTAAAGGATCAACTGTCCAAAGACAGCAGAGTTTCTCATTATCAGCTCATACAATTCATGTGGTGCTTGTAAGTATTGACTCTCAATAACATCTGTAGCTCCCATACACTGATGTAACATCATAGCCTTGGCAGCTGATTGCAAAACACTATATAAGATTTAATGTTTTCTTGTCTGGATTGTGAACTTATTTATTAAGTTAAACATGCTGCTCACATGCAACTTACAAGCATTGTATGTCAATTGAAATTTGCAAACAAAATAGCATACCTCTGTGCTCTGTGTTGCGTGTGAGAATGTTATATCAACAGTTATGTCTTGTAATTTAATATGTTACATGTTATTATTCTTATCATTATCAGAAAACCTTCTGATCATTAATGTGAACACATTATTAATTATTTCCCTCAAACCAATAATTGGTACATTTTAATTGTTAGTTTTATCTGTATTTATTAATATAATAATATATGTTTTACTGTAGTTACTGTGGGAACAAATAATAAAATATCAAACATAAAACCAATTTGTAGCCTCAAATGACTTGATTACCCACTCCCCCAAACCAAATGAATCATTTGTGCATATGAATTCACACAAATTGGACCTCTGATTGCTCCCTGGCTCTTAATGTTGACAATACTGAAACTTGTTGTAGTCTTGTATTAACATTAACCTGTATGGGAAAAAGAATTGTTTTCTTTGCCAAGATGTTTTTGTCTTTGTGTATGTGTTGTGTGTTTTGTACAATGGGTGAAAATGAATTCATCTGTCTGTATATGAATGTCACTCCAAGGTTTTGCTAGAGATATTAAGCAGTTAATTCACATACAGAGAAGATAAACTTGTGAAGGCTATTGGAGTACAGTAAACTCAGAAGACGAAACCAGTTTCAGATGATTTGAGCTTTGTGACGTGGTGCATTATCCTGCTGGAAGTAGTCATCAGAAGATGGGTACACTGTCCATCAGAAGATGGGTACACTGTCATCATAAAGGGATGGACACGTTCAGCAACAATACTCAGGTAGGCTGTCACGTTATACGATGCTCAGTTGGTGCTAAGGGGCCCAAAGTTTGCCAACAAAATATCCCCCACACCATTACACCACCACCAGCCTGAACGGTTGATACAAAGCGGGATGAATCAATGCTTTGTTGTTTACTCCAAATTCTGACCCTACCGTCTGAATGTCGCAGCTGAAACCGAGACTCATCAGACCAGGCAACATTTTTCCAAACTTCTATTGTCTAATTTTGGTGAGCCTGTGCGAATTGTAGCCTCTGCTTCCTGTTCCTAGCTGACAGGAGTGGCAACTGGTGTGGTCTTCTGTTGCTGTAGCCTATCTGCTTCAAGGTGTGAAGTGTTCTGTGTTCAGAGATGGTATTCTGCAGACCTTGGTTGTAATGAGTGGTTATTTGAGTTACTGTTGCCTTTCTGTCATCTCGACCCAGCCTGCCTATTCTACTCTGCCCTCATGACATCAACAAGGCATTTTTGTCCACACTCACTGGATATTTTCTCTTTTTGAAAATCCAAGTAGATCAGCAGTTTCTGAAATACTCAGACCAACCAATAACCATGCTACAAAGTCTCTTAAATCCCCTTTCTTCCTCATTCTGATGCTCGGTTTGAACTTCAGCAAGTTGTCTTGACCATGTCTACATGCACTGAGTTGCTGCCATTTGATTGGCTGATTAGTTATTTGTGTTAATAAGCAATTGAACATGTGTACCTAATCAGGTGGCCGGTGAGTGTATATACACAGTATATGCATGATGTATACACAAAGACTGAAATGGCAGTACAGCCAGATATTTTTAAAGTACCAGAGATGTCTGAAGTATGTTAAGTCTGTTAAATATTATTCTATTATAGTAATTTATGCAGGTCACCTATTTATCAGTTAAAGACCAGCTGTCACTCTATGGCTTGGACTTGGTTTAATTTTGCTTACACATATGTAAAGCAGCTATAACTGATATTTTACAATAATTTATCAAATGACAAAGTGAAAACAATGTAACAATGTGAAAAGGCCGCTCTTGGAGCTTTATAGCGAGTGGGAAAGTGGTTGGCCTGCTCTGGACCAGCATTAGACACTGAGGCCCTCCAGTGGGCCATGCTCTAGATCCAGTGTGGGCATAGAGCGGGCTGCTCTGTGAGTCCTAGGGTTTAATAAAATATGTCATGGACCCAATGTTGGTCCATAACAAACTTGACTAAACTGGATTCACATCATTACTATTGTGTACATATGCAGTGTAACTGTGCCTGAGTAAGTAGCAGTAATGAACTAAGAAAAGTAATATATTTCAAATACTCACATGCACTGATTAATTTGAATACCTGAATAAGGATGAAATACTGAGAATGGAATTACAAATGGAAAAAATATAAATATATGGCACGCTCTAGTTGAAAGAAATGTAAGCAAAAGCCACAGCCACAATAAAATGTAAAGCTATTTACTTTTAACTCAAATGTTTTTTTCTGAATCAATTGGAAAATACAGTTTTAAAGGTATATTTCTTATGATATGTATTTTAAAGCTACTCAAATCTATTTAACAAGTTGGACAGAGAGTATATATGTTTATTCTGTAACCATTCACTGGGAGTCCTATAGTCATGTGTCCAAGGGTTCTTTTGGTTGTGAAAACCACAGTCAGAGGATGATGTGCTCCGTCAGTGTAGTCAAAATAATAGTGATCCTTGCTTATGTGTTATTTCTTGTATCTTCACACAAGGAAATACACACAGACTGTTAAAGACAGTAGTGACTCCACCTGACTAGTGCTTTCCAGCTCAGCCAGCAGTGTTTGCTGTTGTCCTTGGTAGACATTTCTTCCAGCTGTAGGGGGAGAGGCGATGGGAGGCTGGGCAGGCACATTTATGCCGACCTTTTTGGTTCACACACAGGTGGGAACACCATTCTTCTGACTGCACTCGTTGATGTCTGGGGTATAGACAGTGAAATGAAGAAGAAAACTCACTCAGTATACATAATTACAGTGAATATTTATAGAAACTCTCCAATAAATATGAATTACACTCATTTCCACTTCCCAATTTGCAATATACTGTTACTGTGAGACACTAGCAAAAATGAAACTGCTGAAATGTAAAGACTGCAGCCTACACTGGATACAAGCATCACAGGATAAAAAAAAAGTATATAGTAATACATTTTCTTGTTTAATTCATCCCCAGCATGGCAGGTTTAAAAAAAAAGAACTATATATGAATGAATTGTTTTGTTTAATTTTTCTTTTCATTAATTCAATGTTTCTGATTAGGGACTGCTGCATAATGAGGATAAGGAAACCCATGATAGATGTCCTGCCAGTTTCAATTTCTGCAGTGCTTTGACTGCAAACATTTGACTTCATAAATGGGGTTGTAAGATACAAAATAATTTTTATAAGTGAATTCAAATATTTTTTACTAGCCGGGATTATTGGTTCACTACACTGGAAACTACACACAATGGTGGCAAATTTTTGACTAAATAATAGTAAAACGGGCGCAGTAAGTTTCTGGAGTATCCGATGGTTGCGTGGGAACTTCACTGCGATGACATGACACCAAGCTAGCTATTTCCGGCATTTCCAGTTATTATGCTAAGCTAAGCTAAACAGCTGCTGGCTCCAGCTTCATTCTGGACAGACAGATATGAGAGTGGTCTCATGTAATTCCTGGCAAGAAGGCGAATGAAGGTGTTTCCCAAAATGTTGGACTACTCCTTTACATGAACCTGATTAATTAGGCCATTAATAATATAAACATTTTTTTAAGTAATAGTAATTTTGTGCAGCATTGTCCTCCAAGTTATCCACAATTTTGGAACAAACCTGTGTTTGAGTATTTAGTATTGAGTTATTGCCACAATGTTGTCACACAGATACACTAATAATGTGAAAATGCCCCACATACCATACACCATACTGTTACAGATGTGTGTGCATGACCCCACTGACCCTTGCATCGTCGTCCATCTCTATGGAGTGTGTATCCTCTGGGGCAGATGCAGCGGTGAGAGCCAGGCAGGTTGACACACTGCCACTCGCACGTTTCCTCCTGGCACTCATTAATATCTGTGTGTGGACACAACCAGGAAGCTGAGACTTTTGACCTAAATTAGAGAGAAATCTATAGATTTTTTCCCCTACCTACACATTCCTCCCTGAGAGTGTGTGCAGTTGAATTCTCAGGTGTTATCGGTTGCTTTCTGAACCCAGGTGGACACTCTGTGATACAGCTGTGACCATTTCCAGCTAAGATGTACCCGTATGTGCAGGAGCATCGGTAGGATCCTGGTGAGTTGTGGCATTGCACCATACATGGTCCAAGCCCCTTATTAACAGCACACTCATCTATATCTGGATAAGAAATGGAAGTTTAGGAGAAGATGAAAACCAAGCTTAAGTCTACACCTTTTCTATTTTATTTTAATATTCTATTGTACGGTTATATTATCAAAACTGCAGATTTAAGGCACTAGGACAGAGGTGCACTGATAGAAAAACATATTTTTGCTGAAATTTCATGCCAATCCATCTAGCAGATGTTGAGCTATTTCAGTGTGGAAAGTAGCGGGCCGACATTACCATCCGTAGAGACATGCTTTTACCGTGGCTAAAAAGAGCAAGGAATGGTTCATAGTAATGTTTAGGGAGTGTCCCCTAACCTTGGCAGTGGCTGTCTGCAGTCTGAAGGCTGTAGCCAGCAGGACACTGGCAATGGAAGCTCCCAGGAGTGTTGACACAGCCGAACACACAGCCTGTTACAGCTACAGGCAGCAAGCACTCATCAACATCTGGAAAGATGGACAGCGATGTAGAAAAACACCTTATTCGTAGATGGAAATTATATAAAAAGACAAACACACACCGGTGCAGGAGGTCTGGTCATGAGCTGGCTGAAAGCCGTCATCACAGGTGCACTTATAGGAACCAAATGTGTTGATGCATCTCTGCTGACACTGGTGCTGCCCCTCCACACACTCATCTAAATCTACGCACAACGATAAATACCACGAACACATATCTTGCACTGGTTTGAATGGCACAGATTTAATAAAACACACACTCTTGTGTACAATCAATCTGACAAAAACACACAGACCCTGCATCACTGAGATGAAAGAAAAGAGCAGCAGATGAAAGGTAGCCATTTCCCTTGCTGCTCTGAATCGAGCTGGAATCTGAAACTTCATTGATGTTTTGCTTGCTGTTTTGGCCTGTAATAACACAGATGTTTTCTGACATCCTGTTCTTTAGAGACAGGAAACAAGGATGTGCAGAAAGAACTCTGCAAGCTTGTATATCAGCTGTGCCCTAGTTTTCCGAGGAAGGCACCATTTCCCAACCTGATGTTTCTTGATATACCTGCCTTTTCTGTGTTAATGGTTAAATTTTTTTGCATTTTCAGACACATCTCAACATATAGAAGGCCACGTGGACAATGTCTAGTCCAGAAATAATGACATATTTTGAAAAGAGGACCAAAATATATAAGACAGGAATGTTTACAAGCCTTATTTCATTGCAGTGGAATTTTCAGGCTAAAACCATTGTAGCAGTCCTACTACATCTTTTCCCCTGCCCTTCCAGGTCAGTGGTGGTTCACTCTCCTCGTTTACTCCTCTCACAGAGAGGGAAGTATCAGAACTCTTGACCCATAGCCGTCCAACTACATGCCCACTGGACCCGATTCCTACGAATCTCCTCCAAGCCATATCTCCTACTATAGTCCCGACAATCACTCATGTGATAAATACTTCTCTGGCTTCAGGAACCTTCCCGACCACTTTCAAAAGGGCTCGGGTTACACCTTTTCTCAAAAAGCCCTCACTTGACCCAACTCAAGTTGAGAACTATCGACCAGTGTCTCTTCTACCTTTTTTATCCAAAACTATTGAACGGGCAGTATTCAAACAGGTCTCAGAATTCCTCTCAGGGAATGACCTCCTAGATCCATATCAGTCTGGTTTTAAGAGTGCCCACTCTACTGAAACGGCTCTTCTGTCTGTAACAGAAGCCCTAAGGTCAGCTAAAGCTGCAGCCCAATCCTCAGTTCTTATCCTGCTTGACCTATCAGCTGCCTTTGACACAGTCAACCACAGGATCCTGCTATCCGCTCTCTCAGCAATGGGCATCTCGAGTAAAGCACTCCTGTGGTTCGAATCCTACCTCTCGGGGCGTTCCTACAATGTTTTGTGGCAAGGACAATTATCCTCCTCCCACTGCCTCTCCACAGGGGTACCGCAAGGCTCAGTGCTTGGGCCCCTTCTCTTCTCAATTTACACCACCTCACTGGGGCCGATCATTCACTCGCACAGCTTCTCTTACCACTGCTACGCAGACGACACGCAACTCTACCTATCCTTCCCGCCAGGCGATCCCACTGTCCCACTGTCTCGGCGCGGATCACGGACTGTCTATCAGACATATCTGCATGGATGAAGGCTTGCCACCTTCAACTAAACCTCTCTAAGACTGAACTCTTGGTCATTCCAGCCAAGCAATCTATCCACCATAACATCAAACTACAAATTGACTCAGCAACCATCACTCCAACCAAGGTGGTGAGAAACTTGTGTGTCATGATTGATGACCAGGTGTCCTTTTCAGACCATGTTGCTACTGTCTCTCGGTCATGCCGCTTTTCTCTATACAACATAAGGAAAATCAGGCCCTACCTCACTCAGTACGCCACCCAGCTTCTGGTACAGGCCATGGTTATCTCTCGCATCGACTATTGCAATGCCCTCCTAGCAGGTCTCCCAGCTTGTGCGGTGAAACCCTTACAAATGGTTCAGAACGCAGCAGCATGTCTGGTTTTTGATCAGCCCAAAAGGACTCACTCCATTACTCAGTGACCTCCACTGGCTCCCCGTGGCCTCCAGAATCAAATTCAAGTCACTAATGCTTACAGAGTGACTACTGTGTCTGCACCCATCTACCTAAACTCCATAATACAAACTTACGTTCCTTCTCGGCCGCTACGCTCCTCCAATGAACGCAGCCTGGCTCTGCCATCCCTTCACACAAAGGATTCCCAGTCCCGGCTATTCTCATCTGTGACACCACGATGGTGGAACGAGCTACCACACGCCATCAGATCAGGGGCGTCCCTCTCTAACTTCAAGAAGCTCTTGAAAACTCATCTCTTCCGAGAACACTTCCTCTTATAACACCTCTAACTCCTAACCTCTAGCATGCACTTCCTGTGCTCTTCTTCTATCCCCTACAATGATCTTGTATTGATTGCACTTTTTGCTAACTCTTACTTCCTTCCCTAGGTATCTACCCCATTGATGTGATATGTACTGTGAGCTCTTACTAGTATTTATTGCTGCTCTTACTAGTATGTATTGTCAGTTGTAGATCTGTAGTTGATGCTCTGTTGATTCTTGTATGTTGTTCCTCAAATGTAAGTCGCTTTGGATAAAAGCGTCTGCCAAATGAGTAAATGTAAATGTAAATGTAAAACTAAACTGTAATCAGTCAAACCACAGTTGTTCAGACAGGACTATATGTCAAAGTGCACACAAAACATAAGAACACTGTTATATAATATAATATCAACACCATCCACTGATTGCTCTCATGAATGATAGGTTGCCTGTGAGCAGGCATGTGTAACCATTGCTACAAGGTGATCATGCTGCTATAAATTTCACAGGCACTTCTGCTCGTCTGTGAGCCATGAAACATCAAACACAGAAAACATGTGAAGGAAATTCCCTTTTGTGTTGTAACATGCCTCGGTGCACGCTGTGCTGTCATTAGGAAGAGCCTAGGGGGGGGGGTCCACAGAGGATTTCAGGAAGAATGTTACTTCACAGTGGAGAAAAGACAAATATGCTTACCTCGACATGTTCGCATGTCATCCAGCAAAGTGAATCCAGGTCTGCAGTGGCAATGAGTTCTGGTCTGGGTCTGGTTGGAGCTCTGGTTGTAGTGCTGAGAGTGAGAGCAAAGCTGGGAACAGCCTCCGTTGTTAACTGAACATGGTGTCATCTCTGGAGAAAAACAGTAAAGATGGAGGGTGGCTCGTTTCCGGGGTAATTACAAGTTCAAGGGTCAAAAAAAGAAAAAGACATTAATTCAAGCATTTATGTGAGCTGACTTTCAGATAGTTATCAGAGAGAGGTATAGCACTGGAGACGACCAATTGTGCATGTGTAACAACAGTAGAGACGGTTAAAATCTTTGGCACTTTCATTTCACAATGAGATGATTTGTATCGTAGAAGCACTGATTAGCACTAATTTCCTTTAAAACAGATAACCTTGGTGTTGGATATCTGTTTTAAAGATAATTACATCAGCACTTTTTATCCATTGCTAGGACCCATTGCCTTCCAGGAATGTTAAGTTTTCCTACTTTTACTGGCAAATAAATATCTTACACAGCCATCAGCACGTCATTCCTTTCCCTTTAAAGCAGCAACATCACTCACCGAGACAAACAGGTGTGATTCCGCTCCAGGTGCCCTCTTGCTGGCAGTAGCTGTGAATGTCTCCATGAGCCAGCGTATAACCAGAGTAGCAGGCATACTGTATGTAATGTTTGTATTCTCTGGGACGTGGATTCTCTACATTACGAAAGTAGAAGGTTCCATGAATGGGCACAGGTGGGTACGGGCACACAGGTCGTCTGCTGAGGCTCAGAGACAGCAGAGATTCAGTGGTGGTGGAGGTGTTTGAAGGAAGGGTGACATTAGGCGGCAGTGTTTTCACATTGGGCTCATTGGAGCCGGTACTTGAGGACGTTAAGGCAGAAAAGGAGGGAAGGGGGAGTGATAAGGAATGTGAGGTAGCAGGTGATGAAGTGGATGAAGAACTGGTAGAAATTAAATCAACAGCACCCTGTGGTGTGACAGATTCTTCAACTTTGAGCATTTTTACACTCCGATGCACAGGCAGAGCAGATTTTGTACAGTGGAGTGGTGAAGTTGGTACAAACACAGTTGGAAGAGTATGTGAGACGGCAGCATTTGTGACGGCAGTGATAGCTTGTGTATGGGCTGTTAAAAGTGGTGGTGGTGAAGATGTAAATCGCTCTGTTTCTGCCACTAATGATGAGGTAGATGAGACAGTTTTTGCACCCGAGCCATGCCTCCCAGTTCCTGTTTCTGCTCCTTGAGCTTTGTTTGCCACCTGAAGTTGGGCCTCGAGATGAATTGTTTGGACCCCGTCTTTGACTTTAAAATTGGGGAACTGAATACGCTGCTGCAGCTGAACTTTTGGGTTAGTCTCTTTAATCCTCTCACTGTTGGACATTTGGGATGGTGTACAGCCAAATTTGAGGTTTACTTCTTTGGAGGCTGTATTAACGAGGGTATCGTAGTGAGATTGCTGCTGGGTCTTCAGAACTACGGCAGTCTGGACATTCTGGTGTAAGTTTGGCTTTTGCATATTGACAGCTGAAACCGAGCTCATCATGTCAGACTCTAAAAAGGAAAGGAGGAAAAAAAGATCAAATTAAGGGCAGTAAAAGGCAAGGCAAGTCTATTTTTACAGCAACTTTTGAACATGACTGAAAAGAAGGCCTGAAAACAGTTTCACTTCAGCTACAGTTAGTTTCAGTTGCAGTGTAGTAATAGTGTTCTACCTAGTGATGTTTGGAATCAATGAGTTGGTAACATCTGGATACAAAAATTACATTTCTTGCAGATAGAAGTAGCTGGGTAGCTCAGCACAAAGACTGAAAACATGAGGAAACAGCTAGCCTGGCTCTGTCCAAAGGTAAAATATACACCTGCCAGCACTTCTACAGATAACTAATTGTATCAAGTCCAAAGTGCCTGGAGAAACCAAAGACTCACTGCTACCAGCCAAGAAACAGTCTGGCACCTTGACCGCCCTAAAATTGTTCTCCTCAGCTTGTACTTTGGTTTTGTAGGTGGATTTTACTACCTTTTTGACAGATACAAGCTAGCCGTTTACCCTTTCCAAGCCTTTACACTAAACCAACCAACTACAAAATTTACCTAACACATATGAGGTATCAATCTTCTCATCTAACTCCCAGCAAGAAAGCAAATATGCTTATTTTGTAAAATGTCATTCTGTTTCATTCTGTTCTGCTTTAATAACAGAGCTTTTCATGCTCACCTTTGCATACAGGCTTTGTGGTATTCCAGGTGTGGCCCTTACAGTATAACATTGAGGGCCCATTTAGCCGAAAGCCACTATTACAGCTGAACACTGCCCAGGATCCATCCTCATTCACGCTGCTTGTCCCGTGGGTAAGCGGCCCTGGGTTGGAGCAGCCAGAGCCTGAAGGAGGGTGGGGGTTTATAAAGGAAAGTGATTCAAAGTTAGTCTTAGTAAGTCTGACCAGGGACTTTTGTTGCCTATTGTTGTCTCCACCCAACTTCTACTATACAACTTTCTACTGAGTACTGTAATTGAAACAGAGTAAAAAATAAAAATAAAAACTTTTAAGAAAAGAAAATAATTATTGTTGTCCTCTAAATGCATCTACCAACAAAAACAGAAATTGAAATCCTAAAATAAAATTTTTTCCAGTGCATGCTCCTCATGAATGAAGCTCCTTACCAACACAGACTGGGGTGTCCCGGGACCAATGTCCAGACACACAGCTGTTGGTTTTGTATCCATGGAGCTTATAGCCAGGATGACAGCAGAAGATCACCAGCAGTCCTCTGTAACGGAAAAATGTCTGCCCGTTCTCCAGGTGTTTAAAACCACTGCATCCCTCAGCTCCACACACTGTAGACAGTTTCACAATGAAGGTCTGCTTCTTTTAACAACACACACAATTAAACAAAATTAACTTGAAGTAGTACCTGGAGCATAGATGCAGAGTAGAGCGAACAATTCTATCAGGAGTCCCATCTGAGCTCCCATCTGAATGTGTGTTCAGGATGACACTACAACCTGCTGAGCTGAGATAACAAAGGGTAGGCTGAACAGTGAAATACTTGGAGTGAAAGTGGGAAGAATCAGAGAGCCTGAAGACTGAAGGGAGGGGAGATGTGGTCTGGGGTTACTACAGGATGGGCAGATGGGAGGGAAAAAGGGAGAAAGGAGGGGTAAGTTGGTGCATACGCAAACCACTCAGATGGATAGTGAGGTATCAGGGAAGTGCTCTTTTTGCCAGTTTTATAGTAAGTTGTAACATTTTTACTTGTTTTAACATTTAAAGTGACACACTTAGAAATAAGCAGTTGAGAGAGAGGGCAACATCCAAGCAAACAATCAGTGTAAAAAAAATTCATCTCCACACCTCCGTTTCTCTCTTGCCCTTCACTTCTGTAGTCTCTTGCAAGTAGAGTGTGTGTGTGTGTGCTGCAAAAATTGACACCTTCAGAAAAATCGGAACCCATCAATTATTCAGAATGCCTGGGCCTGTTTAACAGCTCTCACCGTTTGGTAATTATAGTGAGCAGGAAGCCAGAGTGAAGTAGCATACGAACACACACACACACACACACACACACACACACAAAATATACACAAAATACAACTCTTAATTTCAAACGAGCCATTTTATTCATTATTGGTAACCAGTTGAACACACACCAGCTGAAACCCATACATTAATGTCAGTGTGTTCCTATTTCTTCTAATATTGAAGCCTTCAGTCATCAGTACATGTAATACTACAGTACTGATGTGTACATAGCTAAAAGTGCTGCATCACTGTTGCTCCTGCTGTATCTGTGGTAGACGAGGTATCTCACAGACAATAATTGTAAGGTCACCAAAACAATGCTACTTTTAAGTGTTCAGGTATTTAAAGGTGGATTTTTCCGCTAAGAACCTAACTTAAGAAATACTAAATGATATCACTTATCCCTGCTTTCCTACTTTCTTTCCACGAGTTTCTCTGCTGAGACATGCAGGACTTCCCGCAAGTTAGCATTCAGATTCTTCCCTTCATGAATACTTGTCTCCATCCACCTTTCCATTGAGTTGCTGATCCTTGTTGTCCAGTTTGTGTACCACTCTGAAGGCCTCTAGGAACTCAGTGAAGTCTATACTGCCATCCTTGTTGAAGTCAATACTTCGGGCCAGATCATCGATGGCTTTGTCATTGATATCAACCCCGAGGTGGGCACTGAAGAGACGCCAGGTGTGACGAAACTCCTCAACAGAGATCAGACCTGAACATGACAACACACATACAACCACATTACTGACTTTAAGGAAAAAATTCTGAATTATTGACACATTGTCTCAAAATAGACTCTGTACTTTTTTTTTTTACCTGAATGGTCTTTGTCTATGATGTTGAATATTATCTCAATGTCTGTCCTGTATCTGAACAGAGTTTCAGCCAAGTTTGGAGTGACCTAAAATAAGCAAAAAGGGGATTAGTTAAGCGTAAAAAGTATTGAAAACCTACATGTGCATACAGAAAGGCACTTAGAAGGCACAACAAACACAAAATGGCTTGAACTAGCAGCCTCCTCAGGCAGAGTAAAGTAAGTGTCATTAAGTGCCTCTATTTGTGCACACATTGCATATTAAATTCTAACTTTTCTGGATTCAAATGTTTTGTCTTAGTTCAGGAACAAGTCAGTTCCTGGTGATGGGGCAGACATATCCCTTTGGTGTGAGAGACCCAGGTTCAATCCCCCACTGCGACACATCCACCAATGTGTCCCGGAGCAAGACACTTAACCCCTAGTTGCTCCAGAGGCGTGCGACCTGTAAGTCGCTTTGGATAAAAGCATCAGCTAAATGAATAAATGTAATGTAATAATAACCGTGGACTCCTGGATATATACTACAGAAGTGCATCTTATTGTTGCTGTCAGGTGAAAAAACCTCAAGTATCTCCTTTTGGAAATTTTGCATGCCCGATTACATGCTTAAGACAATGTCTTTTGTTTTCTAAGACTTAAAACTTGATAAAAACCAACAAACCCAGTGTCATCAAGTTTTAAAAGTTCCCGAAAAAAACTATATATGGATCAAATAAATGTAGGAGTAAAAGTATACTATTAAAATATTAAAGTAAAATATGAGGATCTCAAAGTAGACTTTAAGGTCAGTACTGAGTAAATGTACTTGGTTGCTTTGATAAGAAGACCTCTTCGCTTCTCTCACCTGAGGCAAAGAAATCCCCGGTCCCATATCCTCAAAACAGGACTGATACTCCACTCTGCCATCTGGTGCCAGATGGGCTAAGTGTGGACGCAGTGTCCTCCAGGGCACGTCCAGTCTCAGGACAGACTCTAATACCTGAGCCCATTCACTGACTGACACCCTACCTGAAAAAAAAACATATGCTGACATTTAACAACTCCACATGCCAACCTGAGTTAAATACATGTTAAGTAAGGCGCACAGAGTGAGAGAAGCGCACCGTTGTTATTATAGTCAAACTGCTGGAAGCCCAACATCAGTTCAGAGCGATGAGTGAACAGCTTCTCCTTCAGGGCCCTGAGAGCAGAGCCTTCAGCTGCTCGTACTCTGCAGACAGATATGCAAACACAGGTCATTAACTTAGACTGAAAGATTGATCTCGCTTAAATTATTTACCAATTTCCATTATTGATACATTTGTCAATTAATTAAACATTTTTGTCTTTACAATGTCATAAAGTAGTGGAAATTGCACATAACGATTACACAGAGCCAGTGGTTGCATCTTCAAATTGCTTTTTTTGTTTTAAATTATTATTATTATTATATATAATTAAAAACTATTTAAAACAGACAAATGCAGAAAATCCTCACTTTGGAGAGGCTGGAACCAACTGATAAATGACCTAAACTAATCGAACATTAAAATTGCTGGTACTGAATCCACAGCTGAGTATAGTATACAGAAAGGTTTACATTGAGCTGTAGTTATTCTGCCCCATTTTACACAAACACACACATCAGACACCTGTTGTACCTTTGTGTTAGGGTGAGTTTGCGTGTTGTGCGGCTGACTTGGTACTGGTAGAAGCGGGGAACCAGTTCTCTGCCCACTTTGATGTACGCACCACGGTTGCTTCCCACTTCATAATAATTTGACGCTGAGAAAATGGTGATTACCTATAGAACAAACACAAACACAAACACATATATTTCGCTAGACTTACACATGCTAGACTTCTGGACAATTTGATTGAATTTATTCCCATCTACCCGTCCACCATGACAGAGCTCATATCCCTCCTGCTTGCACTCATGGGATCTGATGAGCAACTGGAGTCCGTGTTGGAGCAGCAGTCTCTGGCTGACGTCAGGGCCAAAGTAGCACCCTCCTCCTCTGAATGTGTTGGGACTGCAGCCTTCTTGGGTTTTAGGGTCACTCCACAATATATCCACTATCTGCAGGACAGAGGAAAGTGCTAAATAAGACACAGATAGGGCAGAGGTGACCAATAGTCAATTCTCTCCAACTGAATCCAACTCCTCTGACCTGTTTCCATTCCCGTTCATGTTGTGGAGGTGTAGGAGGGGAAACAGAGGACAGAGAGTCCAGGAAAGGCACTTGGAGAACATTGATAGTGTAAGGCATGCTGGGAGAAGACAGGCAAGGATGCGGCGTGAGGCTGGACGGAGTTCGAGGAGAGCAAAGCGAAGACGAGGAGGATGAGGAGGAGGAGGAGGAGGATGAAGTGGAGGCAGCGCTGTCTTGTCGGCTGAGCCTGCATCGCCTCTTTCTAAAGAAAAAAGGGGTAGAAGAAGGGAGTCTGTCTTATTGTACACTGACCTTAAAAAACATGTACCATCTGCAAGAGTCTGTGGGTTGCTGTCAGACCTCTGGTTAGGGGTTCTTTGGTTCTTGCAGTGGCTGCGACTACTGCTGGGACGAGAGCCGTCTGTCGATCTCATTCTTTTCATCTGTCTACAGGACTGACCGATGTCCAGCTGCTCCAAACTGTGTCTGGGAAACCTCAGGGCAGATTTCACCTACAAGAGAATAGAAGGAAAGACAAAAACAAAGTGAGAACCAATATTTTTTTTTTCCAAACTGACATATGTCAAGATTGAAGAAGTCTTTTGAGGCAAATTGGTGATTGAGTTTTGGTTATATAAATAGAAGTAACTTGACTTAACAAATGAGTTTAAACACATCCTTGTACTGTACTAATTCTTATCAGGATTAAAGTAAAAAAAAAAGTATAAATCTAAAGATACATTACAGATGATTCATTGCTTTCCAGGAGTTACTTTATGATGAATAATTGTACATTTTATTGCAACCATGCCCCCTACTTTAAGCAGTAATTTACTGCATTTCCCAGAATTACTTTTACTAATTTTATGAGAACATGCACATTCAATTATAATTCAGTGAGGCTTATTTTGATGAAGAAATCATGTTTATTTCTAATTAGTGTGGTTCATGATTGATAATTTTCAGTCAAATCTGACAGATTATCTGTTTTCTTTCTGTCAGTCATTCAAAAGAATAAAAACACACACACACACACACAAAGTTGACACAGAGTGGACCTGTTTCATAAAACCTGCATAATTAAATTTTATTTTACTTTGAATCAAATGACTAGTGTACAACAAGTGTTTCTAATAGTACCACCATAACAGCATTTTTACTTAACTCTGCATCTCTTAAGCTTTTTTCCCTCTTTTGGTTAAGTGTTTTAGTTGTATGACTGCAAATGAACCATTTGGTTCAGTCTAGGCCACCAACATCAGCACAAAAACTGAAGCCGAAAAGTCAAACTCCTTGTGTGCTACCTGGTCAGCAACCTGCTAAGGCTCATAGAAATTACATTTAGCTGCCTGGCCCCTATTAACTGAGCAGTATGTAAAGTTTTTCTGTGCTGGAATATAATACCTGGCCCCTGGTTAGCTATGTGATTATCTTGTCAATCAGGCTTTATGAATCCTAGTGAAGAATTTTGTTGTTACAGCACCCACACATTTGTTTGTTTTTGATAAAGCAGAAAAGTTTTTCTGACCCCTAGCGGATAATATGAAATATTGCAGTTAAAGAGTTTGGATGAAGGACAGGTAGATGATAGTTGGCTGCTTGTTCCCACTGACCTTGTGCCTCTCTATGGAGCTGAGGAAGTCCAAGTCCGTCTCGTCTGATATTCCTCCGTGAACTATCAGGATTTTTCCGTCAATGACTGTCGCAATGGGCAGAAGGCTGAAAACCTCCTGAAACAGCTGGAGGATCTCGTGGCCATGAATCTGCACAGAGTAAAAAAAAAAAAAAAAATTCACAGCTTTGTGTAACTCATCTAGATTACTCCTTCAAGCTCTACAAGCTGTGACAGTCAGCAATTACATGGTACAACCTGCAGAACATGCAGCTGAGTTCTGTACATAATAAAAGCAGAATAATGAAATGTATATGGACTTTACTGTACCTTATATTTCTGCATGACTTCTTTTGTGAACCCATATCTGAAACAACAATGTAAATATAGTGTAAACAAAGTGTTTTTATTATTTTACTGCTCTCCTGCTTGTGGTAAGCCTAGATGGATGGCTGTTTTCTTTCAACTTTTCTTCCTGCCCACCTGAGGTTCATTATGTGGTCTTCATGGTTTCCTCGGTTCAGGTGCATGTAGTCGGGGTAAAGCAGAAGGTAGGCGAACAGGAGCATGACCACTTCGATCGACTTTTTCCCACGGTCCACAAAGTCCCCATTAAACACATACGGCGTCTCCGCAGAGGGAAGGCCATTCTGAACAGCAGCAACGTGCCAAATCAACACACTGGCACAAACTTTCAATCAGATCTTGGAGAAGTCTTGAGTTGCATGCTCCAGCTATGTTTGATGTAGCTTTGACTGTCATGAACATTCGTTTGTTTAAATCTTATATGTATTTATATAAAATCAGATGATTCTGCATAAAACATCACGTTTTAAAAATCGGTGGTGAATGATGCTAAAGAAAGTGTAAAAAAATATATAGCTTTACCTTATAAAATATGAGAAGTAAGTCATCAAGCCGCCCATGCAGATCACCTGTACCAAAAGGAAAATCACCAATGGTGATTTTTCACTAAATTGATCTCTGATTTTCGAAGCATGTCTAAACAGGACGGTAAATTGCTCCACCTCATCCACCAAACAGTGTTGTTTTTCTTTTTTAGTCACAAGTATTCTTGAGTTTAATGACATGCGAATCTGCAGGTGGAAGCAGCCGTGGAAGAGAAGTCAAGTGCCTGATCAGTGTGCAAACAAACAAGACCTCCTTTCTTGGAACCCTGCCATTAAGATACAGTTAACTGTAGCAGCATCACAGCAGCATATTGTTATGATAAGACTTTAACATTTTCACTTTTTTGTTCTCATTTGCAAATGTGTACTGAAAAACAAACAAACGATTTTGAATCTTGAATTAACAAGTGAAACTGAGGTCATGGTTACACACCACATATAGTGATCTCTTTGGTGTAGGATGTTGACAGGTGGATGATGTTGGGCATCTGTTTGAGGAGCTTTTTGGTCTCGTACAGCAGCTGCAGAACATATCTGGCATGTAGTGTCTGTGTGGAGGAAAAGGAATGAGTTCTTACAAGCACCACAATCTAAACCAGACAATTAAAAGGAAGAGTGAGAGAGACCAAAGAGCAATATTCTGTACCTGCTGCTCCTTAAATGCACTGAGGAGGGCATTTGTATCAGAGACGGAGAGAGGAAATGATAGTCGGGGCCCTGTGTATGATTCTGGGACAGAGATCAAGTTGTAGCAGGTCTCTCTTTCTAACCAGGGTTCGACCACCGGGTCTAGCAGCTGGGAGATCAAATCTGGAGGACACATTCATTTTCACTGGAGGGCACGACTCATTTTTACACTTGTAATGCTAAAACTAGGCAATATCAATAAAATCATCTACTACATACTGCTATATGTAATCTTATGTCATGATTTATTTCATATATGATAGATACTATATTGGGCCATGGATTAAACAGTAAAGCAAAAGTATATAATCATTACCTGATATTTCAGGTATAACCAGTATTGAAAGCAAAAGCTGAATCCCAACACTGTGTTATGCTGTGATAATGACTTAAATTAATGTAATGCTTTGATCCATCATGAATTTTGTCAGATCTATGATGAACTGAAACTGTAAAGATGAACTCTGCGGATTTTATTCAGATATCTCTTTACACGTCTTGGAAAGTTACTGCGTATGAAGAAAAAAAGGAGGTAATTTGTCACACTTTAGTGAGCGTTGGGTGGAGCTTAAAGGTTCGTTGTGTAATATTTAGGAGGATCTATTGACGGAAATGCAATATAATATACATAGCTATGTTTTCAGTGGTGTATTAAGAGCTTATGTAATGAACTGTTATGTTTTTATTACCTTAGAATGAGCGATTTCTATCTACATACACCGCAGGTCCCCCCTTACATGGAAGTTGCCATGTTTCTACAGTAGCCTAGAAAGACAAACTGCTCTACAGAGCGCGTTTTGTCACTACATTAAATATGTACAAAGAAGAAGTAGTAGTAATCGTTGTCGTCTGGTTTGTTAGAAATAAGAAGAGAAGTGACATTTAGACAAATGGAGGACCACACATATTATGTAGCACAAAAGTGAGACAGAGAGTGTTGCCATGTAGTTTCTCCTACGCTTTTGCAAAGGGAGGGGTGAGCGGTGAGTGAGCAGTTTGTTGCAATTAGCAACCTTAACCACTAGATGCCACTAGAACCTGTAAGACTGCAAGTTTGAAAATAAAAACAATCTGGAGGTGTAGATTTAGAAAGAGGTGCGTTTAGCAGACCTCTGTAGCCCGCTCCCCATCTGTGATTGATATAGCAGCTCTAGCCACTACTAACATAATAGACCCAACTCTTCGACCACTGACAACTTTGGTCAGAGTTGCATTTTGGGTAATGTAGGCGCCAGGTTTTGACAAGGAAGAAGAATGTGTGGAATAAAAACAGACAATATTTGTGGGCTCCTCTTTCATGTAAAAAGGCACTGAATTAATGTATCTCTAATTTGTAGTTCTTTGTAATATACAGCTTGTAAAAACACCACATCCGGCTCTGTGTGACCTCACTGATGTATTAAACGACCACTCCAATATGCTAATGAAGCTGATGGCCTCTAATTTATGCAAACAAACAAGGCATGAGCAGACATCTACCTACTGGCTTATTTCTCTTTTGTAAGGCTTTTGTCTATTTCCCCATGTCTCCAAATAAATGTCCTTTATTCTGTCACACACGCATAAACACAGAGGCTGGATATAATAAATACAGACAACAGAGTCTGGCCTCTTTCTATCACTTATGTTGACACAATGTTAAACCCATGAAGAGGATGTGCTGTAGATGTTCACCCATAAGGGCTGACCTAAGGATTAGCTTGTCAATGGAGCATTATGCTTTTTAGCTGGATGAGTGGTCAATACATAAGCCACAGCTGTGTCAGTGCAACACACCAACACATTGGCCTCCACATTCACAGTAGTTGCTAAGCAACAGGGTATAAGCAATTGGTTTCTATTCTAGATCAAAATACAGTGGCATGACTAACAAAAATGGGGTTAATTTGATGGAAATGAAAAATACTTCTATATATAATCTTCTAGTGTAAAAAAATGAGTTAAAAAAAACTTTTTTAATCATTCAATGTCACATTTAATAACACCAGCTAAAAAGGTTTGTTTAAAGCTATGAAAAAGACAAATGGCTGAGAAAAACCTCACAGATTTAAGTTTCAGTGCTAGGCTGCTAGGCTGCTTTACAGTGCAAATTAATAAAGTAGAGTAAATTTGTAGTTTCTGCAATTCTTACATGACAGCACATTTACTCTAACATAAAATTGACTCTCCAACATTTCCAAATAACAAGGATCAGAGTTTTAAATGCATAATACTATCTAATCTTAATATTCTGTACATAAGAGTATTTTGGTTCCTAACCTGGCCCATTTCCATTCAGCTGAGTGAAGTTGTCGAGCATGAAACTAAAGAAACTGGAGAGCTGAAGAAAGAAAGAAAGAAAGAAAAAAATGTGTTTAAGCTTTATGATGATTCTGAAAATTAGCATACAGAAATGCTGAGAGTTACCTGTAGCTGGTCCTGTTCCCCAGCATATTCGATGGACTGAAAGATGTTCCAGGTATACCTGCGTCTCATCTCCAAACGGGCCATGTAGCGCCGGTACCATCGCTGGATCAAAACAGCCGCCTTCATAGCTACAACAAAACACCAGCTGTTATATTTTATTTTTCAATGGGTTTCAAGTTTAAATATCTGGAGTCACATACATACAGTACATGAATAAGACATGTGAGGCTCTTTAGTATAACACAGCAAAGTGAGAGGAATGTTCCTTTACATATGCATCTCTCATTCAAGAATGGATTCTGACCCAAAAGCTGAAGCTAATTCCACGGCATCTTTTGTAAATTAGCACTCTGGAAAACATAATCACGTAAATATGCACACAGATACATGCAAATGTCAGACTGATCTCTAGAGATGAGCAGCATCTTACTCAGAGCCGGGCTGGGAGTCTTAACTGTGTCATCTGTAAGAAGAAAACATACATTTCAGGTAATTGAATAACCCCCCCCCCACAGTGAGAGAGATAACAAGACACAGGGGAGGTCATGAGCAACAGTGGGACTGGAAAAAATAAGCAAATTAAAAGAGCTTTCATGAGAAACAGAGCTCAGAGAGAGGAAGGAAGATAAAACTGGAGATAGAAAAGCACCATCTGTCAAACATCTGGTGTGTGTGCGTTTGCAACAAGTCTGAGGAAAATTTACTACTGCAAAAACAACATAGTATCGTGTTGATGCCTAAAATACTCAACCAATATACTGCTGCCATGACTACTGCTAATAATACACAGCCGCATCTCCCAAATAATGTTCCAAAATGCTTTAAGGAGATCGACATGATAGAAACAGTGTTAAGTGCAAGATATTCACTTACTGTGATATAAAACAGACAAATATTTATATTGGAGAAGCGGCAAACAGAGAATGTTTGACATTTTTGCTTTTTTTTAAAAATGACAAAAAAGATCTATTTATTTTTCTGTCGATTGAGTAATTGATCAACTTTTTGAATGAAAATTGGGAAATCAGTGTGTATGTTGGACTGTAAATGTAATTTTTGAGATCTTAAAATAAAAGCAAGGTGTATGTAGACAAGACACATCAGTTACACTATGTTCCCTTTTGTCTGTGAAGGTTCTCAGTCATCCAAGGAAGCTTGTCCCACACGCCAGGTGTAGAAACATGTCAATTCTAATTTGATACCTATATATGTTTCAAAAGTCAAATCCTTCCAGCTGATAAAATAAAGTCATGGACTGAGAGAAAGGACCATAATAACAACTGCAACTGACCTTTTGAACCAGTAAAAACTTTAAACCAGCCATACATCTTTACCTGTCTCTACTCCTTTCCTTTGTGTCTCAGTAGCAACAGAGGTGCCACATCCCATGACGACCCAGAAGGATGTTCCAGGGTAACATCAGACAGTTTTTCCTAAGCTATGCCATGAGACCTGAAAAGTAAAACCACCATTGTTGTTATGCTGCATCAGATGGTGGTTGAAATACAGACACCTAGAAACACACCTGCAGGGGTCAGAATTGACTCTTATATGAACAATATAATAACATGATACCGCTATAAAGTCACAATTTATCAAATTAGTGGAATAATTAGTGGTTAAGGCTCAAAGCAGGTTTCCTTCCAGCTCGTGTCAACCCTTAAGCAAATGTTCATGAAAATTAAACTTCAATTTACAAACCTCAGGTTCCAGTAACTAAGCCCTAGAAGTAAAACGAAGCTTGTAAATGGCTGCTATTCATGCTTCAACACTCAAACAGCCCGTGCTTTTAGAAGATAAGAGAATTTGTATATCACAAATCAAATTAAAAGAAAAAAAATTGCTTATTGCGCATATGGATAATTTTCCTAGTATACTCCAAAGCCGTGCTTATTTTACGCATCCGGTGCAACGCATCACAGTGTTGGTTTTTGATGGTTCCTACCTGCAGTTGGTATCTGCGCGATCCAGAAATCATGATTGGGACACACAATCCATGTGTTGTACAAAAAAACCCGTTGCTTGCATCGAAACTGCAGACAAAGGCCAAACGATTGTTAAGAGACGGTCTGAGTGGAAAAGCTAATAGCTGAGAAGGTGTGGAGGATTCAGCAGCTCCTGCAGCAGGAGGTGAGGTGGAGGCACCACCAGGTGGAGTGAAACCGTAATACAAAAGGGAGGGATCGCTGCTCATCCTTCACATGACGTTACAATATTTTCTAAAGAATAGCCACCATGTCCTGACTATTTAGTCTCAACAGGTGCCACTTAACACCGAGTATTGCGATGATGTTACTGGAACTAGCCACGAAAAATGCTGTGGATTATTGTGGTTCTCATGACTTACTTTTCAGGCCCATAATAAGTTCTTTATTTTTAATTCAGCACTTGTTTTCTGTTGTGTGACTTCAAGGTTATTCTGGACCCATTGTCTCGTTTAAAACATACAATCAAATCCAAAGTCAACATCCACATGTGTAATTTACTAGAGGCTGGGATCTGAGTGGAAAAGTTGGTTAATATAAAACTTAGCGGAGACAGCTCCAGTGACATTTAAATTTACAAGGCAAGCAGTAGGTCTCAAGTTATAACATGCTTTCATTTTCTGTTTTGAATGCAGAGACGACCTTGCTGGATTTAAGAGTCACCTTTTTAAAATTTGAAAGACTGCAGAAAGCAGCCAGATAAGGTTGGTCCTACTAAAGCATATTAGCCAGAAATATGTAAAGAGGAATCCACCATTTCAAGTGAACCAAATTTGAGAACTGCGATGAGACAAAAACCCAGCCATACCAGGAATTTGCATTCAAAACCTGACAAAGCCTGTCACTACACCCTCTTAAATCTCAACATTTCAATTGTTCAGCTTTGTTGAAGACAGTTTGTCATTAATATGTTCCATAAACAATCAGCTCACTTACTGCTATGGAGGTGAGGACCTAATGTTTTTACTTACTACTTGGCATCATTATACAAAACTTGCATATAGGCAAAGATTTAATTTAGAATAAAGTCTTTAATGATAAAAACAACATTTATGTACAGCTCAGGTCCAACTCTTCATGCTGCAGTTCTCGTATGAATCCTCCGTCGTACTAGTGTGACAGCAGCATTGATCTCCTGGAGCGTGATCACTTTTAGTCTGTTGGTTCGTGACAGCCGGGAAGCCTCCAAGCTCACCAGTCTGAGTAGGACTGGTTTGGGAAAACTCAGCCGACGGTCAATGAAGTCCGGACTCCTCATCTCAGCTGGACAGACCTGCAGAAGAGCTGAGAAGCTGAAGGAGGTTTTGAGCAGCATTATAGGACACTTTTCATAGTCTCCATCCAAGACACTGTAACCTGTATAATCCACTAGGAAAGACCTGCTGTAATATTATTATATATCATTCCATGAAAAAAAACAAAACAAGATGACAAGTCTTTGGTCAAGTTTTAAACATCACGTGTCCACTCAAGTTGGTGCTGTTGTTCTAACCTCTTTATGAGCTCTGTAGATGAGAGTGGAGTGAGCTCGGATCCTCCTCTTTCTTTGTGAAGGAAACTTGCGTGTGGCTCTGACAGGAGCTTTCATTTCGCTGTTTAACTTAGTCAAAAACACACTCAAAAAGAAACCAACTGATGAAATTAACAGCACCTCCTTCAGAAGGCCACCAAGCCCGAGACCAGAATAGAAAAAAGAATGTGTGAGGAGTGAAAAAGATGTTTTGATTAACACAAATTGAAAACAACTTTGCTTAATTAGGCTTAATTGCTTTCACCCAACATGCTTTGAATCCCTGGGTGTTCAGTTCAGATGCCTGTAGCCTGAGTATCTAACATGGAGAGAGAAGTATCAACAGGAGTATGTCTGTTTAAAACCTCACATGTGATAACACTTAACCATGTTAATCCATATTCCCATAATTTACTTCAAAATTCATTAAACAATAAAAAAATAAACACACTATCAGTTTTTTCTTTAATGATAATAAAAATAATTTAATTCAAGTATGTTTCTAAGAAGATTTACCCCTAGATGCCTGTGGGTCAAAAGAAATAGCTAACTATACTAACTTGTCATATTATCTCTTTTTAAATGTTTTTTCATTACCTCTTCTAGTAGTGGAAATTAAATGTTGGCTACATACATTAAATGTTGGCTATATAAATTTATTTATTTTCTATCTTTCTTTCTTTAATATATATAGTATTAACATTAACGAGATAATGCTTTAAGAAAAAGCAGAATACATACAAAAACAGCCATAAATTAACCTAAAAGTAGACCTTCTGGTCAATCATATGGATCACAAGGCCCAGCATAAGCCAACACCACCCTCCGGCTCCTTCTCTCTCACTCTTTTGCACACACACACAACCCAAATCTGTCACATGACCAATTGACCACTCTGGCTCTTGTTTTTTATGCAGGATTTTTGACTTGACCCCTTTGACTGTGCAGTGATTTCCAGAATGTACGGTGGTGCTGGTGGTCGTTGATGGTGGTGCGTGAACAGCTGCAGGAAGGGCTTTGTCAGATAAGGACGGCATTAGGTAAGGCCATTAGTGTCCTGTGGATTATTGTAATCCAGCCTCTCTATCACTGCTGCCTTGGTTGCTCAGTCTACAGTCGGTGGGTTGGAAGATGGCTCTCAACATGCAGCGTTTCCTGCTGGCCCTGCTTCTTCTGGGAGCTAACGGTACGATTTCAGTCAGTTTACACTTTGGTCCTTGTGAACCCATAATCTGTGTGATTTGAAAGCAGAAATCTTTGAAGGAGTTAAGTCACCTCAAACTTAATATGTTGAAGAAAACCTTGAAACGCTGATCTGAACAAATTGATTCCTAATTGGAATTTGACAAATACATCTGATTTCCTCAGTAATCCTTAAGATTGTCATCCTGGTTTTTCTTAGGTGACATCATACTTTATTCTCTCTGTGTTTATTTACCTACCGTATATGTGGTTAAATTGACAGATTGATGCACAGATTTTGTTTGCTACAATGGATGACTACTGTGTCCTAACAGTCTTGTTTTGTTTTTTCCTCTGTGCTTCTTCGGCTGGCTGACATTTGTTTCGTCTTTCTGTCCATCTGCCTGAACAGTGTTCATCAGCATTCATGCTCAAGAGGTATGAAGAAACCTAATCAAAATGTCAGAGATGATTTTACTCTTTAAAAGCAGCAGTTTAGATCAGCCACACCAGAAACATCTCAGCTTGGAGTTTATTTCTCTCCAATTGAACACCAGAAATCTGCTGTGATGAGAAATAAGAAGGTTTCAGTCTCTGCTGCATCATTGTCTTTTCAGCCATCAGTGAAAATATTTTTTCAATTATATTTCTACGACTGTTTTCTATTTCTTATGATACTATTTTAGATTGCATGTATTAAATGTTGTTTGTGTGTGTTTATATGAGATTGGAGTGTCTGAGGCGTGGACCAGCAGGTCTTGCAAATGTGATTGTGAAGGAGGAGAATCCCCGACTGAGTTTTCATCCATTGGGACTGGCTCTTCCATGGTGCGAGGAGTGGACTGCATGCCAGGTTAAAAACCATCAAATACAGCCTTCTCTCTAACCCCCTTTTATGCCAATAACCTGTAACTTTCTTAAAAATACACTTATTCATTAGTGCAATTGAATGGTTTTCATTTAGTGCACTTAAATCTCAAACTGATGTTTTATCCAAGTATGAAATTACATTTTGCATCACGTGCACTTTACCACACACTGAGCACGGATTTTCCAAGCTCTAATGAGGCCATTCTTTGACCTACTAATTAAGAGATTTTGTTGATTGGATGATCAAAATGAATCATTAAACTAATAGTAGTACTTGTAATGAGGAGTAAATTGTGATGGCAGTGTTAGATTCAGATAATGAACACGCAAAGCTGTGAGCTAACTGAGATAGTGGACGAGGACAAGAGTATATATCTGACTGTTTAACCTGCTGGAAATGTACAATGCTGTAGGTCTGCAACTAACAATTACTTTTTATTATGAATTAATAAGTCAAATATTTCTGTAATTAATGGATTCATCATTGTGTTTTTGTAATCCAAATAAGCTCAATTTACTATAAAATAAGCAAAACTGCAAATCTTCACATTTAAGACGCTTAAACCACAAATCCTGGGACATTTTGCTTGAAAAATTATTTCAATGAATAATCTGTTATCAAAATAGTTTCAGGTTAAATTCCTGTCATTTGATTAATCAAAGAATCACTTAAGTTCTACTGTGCAGATGGATCGAGAGTTTAAATGTGTGTGTGTGTGTGTGTGTCTATATGTACATGTACATGCATGAATGCATTAGAGTCCAGATTTGTCACCACAGGGTGGACATGCTCCACTGGACATCCTCAGAGACGGTGATGCAGATGGAGCTGTGAAAAGAAACAGAAATACCTTCGCTAACATTGCAGAGTCAAAATTTACTTTCTCATGTGGCAGATTATTTTCATTCATGGAAGTGTAGTTGGTCATGTTCCAAAATGCTCAAAGAATTATTGTATCGCACAAATACAAACCAAAAAATACTTACTTGGTTAAAAATGAAACTCCATTCTAGACCTTGGAAACCGCAGCTGTCAATCTATTGATCTCAACATCCAGTCATACTTGGAAACACATGGAAATGTCCATTTTTCACTTCATTCTGTGAAAACTGCTGCCTGTTTTGAGATCTCCTGCAAAGACACAAACAAACAAAGATATCTCATGGCTGCCTCATTGGGCCTGAGATGTAACCATCAGACTTGAATTATGTCAGGCTTGAAGGGAAGAAGGCTGAATTGATGTACAGTGAGAGGGTTTTCCTTGGTGATTCAGAGTGTCAAGTGAGCCACAAATCACATGGCAACCGGTGACAAAGAGGAGAAAGGAGTTCAGCAGATAATCATTATCTCAGAACATGATGCTCAGATTACGGGGCTCTTAATAGACTGTGCCAATCACACAATCACAGAAACCAGTAATTATGGACCTGGTGATGATAAATGATGAGTGAGGCAGACTTTCTTGCTCAGCCTTAGACTTTATTCCACCTCAGTTCCTCATGTCTCACCTTTTGGTTTTTCCATTAATTCAGCCATCTCAATATGTTTCACTTATCTCCTTCGCTCACACAGGCTCTGCTGTATGCGTTGTAATACTGGGATTAGACAGGATGTGACCCTGTGCCAGATAGGCTTAAGCCAGTAGTAAGAAAAGTTCAGCAGGTTTCTGCTCTATGCATCTGTAGCTGATGTTTTTTCTCTGAAACTTTCAGAAAACAACCTCACTCGTGCAGCTCTCTCATGTTTCCCATAAATTTATTTAGAATATATATTGACTATGTCAACAAAGGACACACGTGTTTTTAGTGGAAGTGAGAGGGCAGATTGACAGATCAAAACATGGGAGCAACACAGAGCTAAAGCTGTGGATAGAGCATGGCCATCTGTCCGCCTGCCGCCCTAATGGACATCGCTGATCTCTAACTGGAAAATTAAACTGCAGGCTTTTAGAATGGGATATGGGCTGCTAACGGCAGGGGCTTTGGGAGCAGGACGGTGTGATGATGGGACTCAGCAGGGGTGAGCATGGAGAGAGAGGAAAGGATAGAGAGATGGAGAATTAAGGATCTACTGTATAAAGGCTTAGCGATGATCACTTGCTGGTCACATTTCAGTGTTTTAATGCTTAGCTGCTGGCAGATGTGTTTGTGTTCTCCATCATGGTGATGACCTTGAAATCCATGTATCCAGGAGGTCTGTTAGTGAAAAACAATGATATTAACTGAAATAGCTGCAGTGAGTTAAAAGTCGAGCAGTTTTAACATCGTTGCACTGGCAGTCTGTTTCTTTTAGGATTGATTTAAAAATTCTTCTAACCACAATTAGAATCAGAAGGAGCTTTATTGCCAAGTAGTGTTTTACACATAAAAGGAATTTTCTTTGGTGTTAAGGTGCAGACAGACATACAGTTGACATAAATAGATGTAGAAATATATAAATATGTAATAAACAAATGCAAGTTATATAAGAATAACAGAAGAATAGAGAAAAATAATACAACTGTCAATAAAAAAAAAAAAAAAAAAAAAAAAAATGATAATAAAATAAAAATAACAATGGAACAACAAATTAACAACAAATATGTGCAATGTGCCAGTTTTAAGGCCAGGCATGGGCTGGCACCTTCATATATCCCCAGAACGCAGACTGAGATCCTCTGGTAAGACACTGCTAGCTATTCCAAGGTCTAGGCTAAAAAACAAAGGAGATAGCTTTTGATGTCAGGGCCCCTACACTGTGGAGCAGTCTACCAGAGGTGATCAGGCTCGCAGAGTCTGTTCCTGGCTTTATATTACTTCTTATGACACATTTTTGACTTGTTTATGTTTCACTTATTGAGTATTTAATTGTACATTGACTTTTGACTTTTGTATACTTGTTGTACACCTCTCTGTGTGATACTGATTGCTTTTTGAATTGTCTGTTTTGCATTTTGCACTTTGTTACCTGTATTGAAAAGTGCAATACAAATAAAGTTGTATTATTATTATTATTATAAATAACAAAAGAGATTTAAATAAAGACCTCTTATAACTTTGTCTCCGATCTACCTGCAGAGTGTCCGTACCACAAGCCTCTGGGCTTTGAGGCCGGATCAGTGAATCCAGACCAGATCACCTGCTCCAACCAGGACCAGTACACCGGCTGGTTCTCATCATGGCTCCCAAGCAAGGCCCGGCTTAATGGTCAGGGCTTTGGGTAAGTACATGCCAACAAGTAGACTTGATATTACCAGATAGTAATTCTAGTAATCTATTTTTTAATAGAGATTTGCTTTGATTTTAGCTTGTAAAATGTTGCCTTTCCCAGAGACTGTTCTGTCTCAGGGAAAAAAAACCCTAATAAACAAATGTCTAGGCGTCTGCCATCTGTGAAGAACAGTATTATAAAAAGTGTACTCTCAGAAAATGTAACCCATCTCTCATTAAGTAAGGGGCATTTGTTAAGGTTGACATGACAATATGCGTTTGCTTAAAAATATAAATATAAATAAGACAGTCATTGCAAGAATATGCCAAATGAAAATGCTGACTGTAAGGAGCTGTACGCACAGTATCGAAGCCTTAAAAGCTTCAACCAGAATATAATATTGCAGTGTTTATTTCTCTATATATTATTATATATATTAATATATAAATATATTTATAATATTTTTTTATACTTTATTTATATTAATGTCTTTCTCTTTAAGAAAATACTTCTTCAGATATCAAGCAAAAACAACTTAACTTAACCCCAATTTAAACCCTCCTGTATGAATTTATTAAATGGATTTTATAAAAATCAAAAACTGTGAAATACCCAACATTTGTGTCATAGGCTTGGTCAGATTCTCAATCTTTTGTTCCTTTGTTTTGCATTTGCATTTATGTGGTGCTTCTTTAGTTTTGGTGTTCTAACCAAACATCATTTTCACAGACCAAAAGACATTTTGAAATGAAAAGTAAGAAAACCACACAGTTAAATAATAAAACTAACAATGAATTCCATTTTGTTTACTATAGAGTCCTGGTATTGCGTACTCCAGTCACTGTCACACCAGTGTCATGACTTACTATAACAGAGCCATTGTTATTGTTGTTATTAGTAGTACAGTAACCTGTGATTTTCCTACAATGAAAAAGGCATATAACCTGCTATATTTTATGCCTCTTTCTTTGTTATCCACTCTGAGAAAACATCAGCTAACAAAACTGAACCAACGTCCATGTGTGCATGTGTTGTAAACAAGCCTAACTCCATTACATTACATTCAATGTTTGTGTTTCTCCTCCAGGTGTGCCTGGCTGTCTAAGTTCCAGGACAGCAGTCAGTGGCTGCAGATTGACCTGAGGGAGGTGATGGTGGTGTCAGGGATCCTCACTCAGGGTCGCTGTGACGCTGATGAGTGGATCACCAAGTACAGTGTTCAGTACCGTACAGATGAAAACCTCAACTGGATTTACTACAAAGACCAGACTGGAAACAACAGGGTCAGTTGAATCCAGTCAAAGCTAAAAAAAACCCAAAACACTATATTGTATGAGACACAATCAGTATGTGTAGGTTACATCTGACATCACAGTTCTGCCATTTAACAACACAGCACTGACTGTCTTAATGGTGACATCATAAATTGAAAAACTAAACATTAGAGTTTTATTTTTGTGAAAATAGAAACATTTGCATACATACAGTACATTTATTATAATATATTTTAAATATGTTAAATATGTGTTACTGGCTAATTTATTTTTGATGTTTCAACTACAATGCTCTCTTGAACAGGTTAATTAGCTGAAGAAATTGCTTTTCTTTACTTCATATCTTTTTGCCTGTTGTACTGACAAATAAACACTACAACATCTACACTACAAAACATCTATAGCGGTCACCTGGACCTTGAAATTTTAATTTTGCATTTTTCACAATTTTCTGATATGTTGATTTTAAAACTTTTTGATTAATCGAAGAAAAATGATTGCAATATAATTACAAAAGCAGTATATTCAGTTAACTTCAGTCATTATTAATGTCTGTCTAAACTAATCTGTCCTGACCTTTCACTCCTCTCTCCTCAGGTGTTTTATGGAAACTCTGACCGCTCCTCGTCTGTGCAGAACCTCCTGCGGCCACCCATCGTGGCACGTTACATCCGCATCCTCCCCCTCGGATGGCACACACGCATTGCTCTGCGCCTGGAGCTGCTGCTCTGCATGAACAAATGCATCTGAACCTTTCCTCCTGCCATCCCAGAGGCCTTGTCCAAAACATCCATCCATACCTGTGTGGTCGGTTATTATATCCACAGATTTAGCCCCCTCCAGCTACATGTATAAAACCACAAATTGAGACAATAATATTCTGTTTAAAATCTTTTTAAATACACACTACAGTTTGACTTACGTGATTTCATTAAAACATTTGTTTGATATGCTCAATGAGCTTTCATTCACTCCACTCTCCATTGTCTGTGTTAAAACAGTCTCACACTGGGGGCTTTAATGTGTTGAGTTCTCAATAGATTGTTCCATTTGAAATGAAATGGCATAAATTCAAAGCAATAATTAGGCATCAAGAGGGAGAGGTAGCGTTGCTATGGATGTTGTATCCACTGGTCTGAAATAAGCTCTTCCAAAACATTTCTGTCCTTCTGTGAAATCCTGTCTGCTTCTCCTGATATTTAATTGTAAACAGGGAATTTATAGTTCTGCTCTCAGTCAGTCTCTCCTTCTTATTTTCCCTAAAGGACACGTCAGGTAATACTCTACATTTTTCTTACTGTCAAAAAATCCCATGAAAAGAACAAAACTAACAGTGAATTGATTGTACCAACAAGTACCGTTTCCTTTATTTGAAATATATTTATTTTATTATTCCCAAAAACTATTGAAAACACAACAATGAACCACACTGTTGCACTGGGTGATATGTTTCTTCATTGCAAAGAGCATAGGCTCTATAGTTTATCTAAAGTGAATACACCCCCTCCTGCAGGTCTAAATACTCAATGGGTCATTGTGTGACAAATGCGTATTAGTCCGCAGCTGTAAATAGTCCCAAACAAATGCATTATATGCTCCCGTTTGAGTAATGTTTGCAAAAAAAATTGTGTCCAGCTGTTTTAGGAAATTAATAACCCTTTTTAGTATAAAGTATATAATTGTGACCACCCTTTTTGTGTACCAAATGTGGATTAATCTGCAACTGAAAATAGTCTATTTACACCAGTTTTAAGTAATGTTTTGTCTGAAATATGAACAAATGGTCTTGCCTGACAGACAAGGCTGACATTAACATGTTGCTGATTTGGGGATTTTCATGGGATTTGTTGATAAATAAAATGTGAAATTATGCCAGGCCTTTTCTTAAAATATGCATGTGGTCTTCCTTCCTGTTTTCTCTTTTGTTCACCATTTTAATCTCAGGCACTTTGAAAAAAACATCACTCTTCAGTGCTATATAAAGATTGTGGGATGTAAAATTCACTCATATTCAGATGTGGTCTTGTACTGTGGTTATCTCCTGTTTTTTTCTTTAACATTTCAGTTAAGTTTCCCATGGTGCTTTGGGGATACATTGGAGAGTTTACTGATTCTGAATGTGTGTTCTTTGTATCTTAAACCTATTTCCATGATGAAATAAATATGCATATATATATATATATATATGTATGTGTTTTCATTTTGTCTGTCTTTGGTACATAAACATATGAGCCGTTCAAAAATGTACAGTTGGCTTTTATTATGAGACCCTATCATATTGAAATTAGAATGGTCAGTATAGATACAATCTATTATTTCTATTTACACCCTGTAAGAAGTGGGGAACAGCTTAATGAATAAAAAGAAACAACAGATGTTTTAGGAAACACATTCACATTTGTGAACAAAAGTTCTTCTTCTCTTCTCAGTTCTCAATGTATGTGACTTACTGGTGGTTGAAGCCTCCATTTCCATCTGATGTGTTGAGTCAGTAAGCTAATATAAGGCTTCGGGGTCACTGGCAAGGCAAGCTTTGTCATCACTCTGTCCTATTAATGATATTGACAAACCCACATCAACAGTCATTTACATTCATTAACAATCAGAATTTTCCTGAAACACAACATGGGGCAGTTTTGCCTGTCCTGGGTAATGTTCAAGGACAAATTGAAAATAAAAAAATGTATTGCAGAGCGATGTCTTGATATTATATGTGGACACTTGCTTTAATCACAGTCTCCAACTGGAAATCCTTCTCTGTGCTATATTTGGCTCAAATTTAACTAGCCACTGATTTGGCTTGTACAAAATGCATCAGTCTGAGTCTTTTTCTAAATGTTATTGCTTTCAATCAGCCGTGTGGTCAATTCGTTAATTTGCGTTTCCCCCCTTTTTTTTTTGCAAGTGTATTTTCGTCCTATCGAACGGATGAAACAAAACATGAAATTCTCCCAAAACTAAACTCTCACTTTGGAACACAAATGTCTTCATTTTTGCACAAATGCATCCATCCTTCTTTCATTCACTTTTCTTCTTCACTTTAAGCTGTAAAACCACTGAGGAAGAGGAAGGAAGGAAGGATAAAGGTAAGACTGGAAGGAAAACTTTGATGTATATTTTGCCTAGGCCGCAAACAGCATTTTGTTCTAACAACCCAGCTTTTTTATTATCCACAGTCAGTAGACAACAAATAAATGCTTTTATGAATAACCTAGTTAGATCCCTGATCATGACTATTAATATTAAAAATAAAAGTTGTAATGCGAATACAGTAGGAAAACCAAATTCAGATTTACAAAAGGCATTTACAAAAACTTTGATAACACAAGATTTTAAAATGCACACAGAAAAATGTAAACACACACATTAAAGGATAAGTCTGGTGTTACTCCCTATCTTTCTTATTGTCAACAAATCCCAGGAAAGAAACAAGATCATTATTGTGCCCCAAAACAGCCCTGTATTAAGACAACACAAGATGGTGCATTGGTGGTGGTGTATTGTTCTGGGTACCGGTGAGAAATGAAATACGATCCAGGATGTCCAGATGGAAGAAATTAATGCATTTAAAGGCTTATTAGATGCCAAAACACTACACAGTGGTTTATAATACTCTGAGACAGAATTTTACAACCCTGGAAGGTTATCACAGCAACAATAATTGTAAAATAATCAGAAGAAATACAATATTCATGTAAAAAACAACAAGTAATCTACCAGCCATGTGCCCTAGTATGTATTTGAGTGATGTCGTGTTGCGGCAAAAGCTGAGCCAGGTTTAACTTTTTTGCCGGACGATCATGCATTGTTTTACCCCTGTGTTGGAACCCCCGCTATGAGGGCTGCATTTTTCATGTAGGGTTACTGTCAGTCTTAACGTGGTCTTGGTCCGTTTCTCAATACTTTCTGACTTCCCCAGGAGGTCTCCCAGACCATTGGTTTCTCCTTAAAAGTCAGAAATGTATTGTTTTATTTTTTAAATTCCAAAATCATGCTGAAGACAAAAATCTTTTTATTTATTTATTTTACAAAAAATTTAATTAAATACTTTAATATTTAAAAAGGTAAGTCATTTCCTAAAACAGACGAGCACTGTATTTTTGAGCAAACATTACTCAAACATGAATAAATAGCGCATTTGTTAAGGACTATTTTCAGCTGCGGATTAATACACATTTGGTTCTCTAATGAGCATTTATAGCAGCAAGATGGTATACAATGTTTGCAATTGTTTTTTAAATACACTACAGTGTCCTGTTTCATGGTAATGAAGGAAAATGTCACCCAGCCAACATTTTTGGATAACAACTATGGCACAGAGCAGTAAGCCAAATCAGGTTTTGGATACACAAACACATTGTTGTTAGTTAGTTGGTTTTGGTGTTTTCATGGGATTTGTTGACATAGGGAAATATAAAACACCACCAGACTTAAGCTTTAAGATCTTAAAGGTCGTAGGTGAGGTATGCCTTTTTGCAGTGCTGTCCTACTATCTTGAAAACTTAGATGTTGTATTTGAGTCAGTCAGACCTCATTTCAAGAGGCTAACATTTCACCACCAATGGGCACCAAAGTCTTGATGCCGTTACTTGCTGTTAAGGCTGTAGACAAAACCAACATGGCAGCACGGAGCTGGAAAGCTGTTGTTGCTGATGAATGAACTGAAAGACTGAAAATGGGGCTTATTTTAAAATGATGACACCAAGCGAGGGACATAAAGTGAACTGACAATTATTGTATGTAATGCACAGAGCATAACAGTCTCGCTCTGGCTTTTCTGCTGCTACCAAACCCTGTAGACAAATTGCCCAACTTTTCACAAATTTTTTAACTGTCATGAGGGTGATGGACAGATTTGTACCAGATGTAGTGTCTGAAATTTTTTTCTTTACATTTTGATGAAACAAACAGAAAAAAGGGCAAAATTGTAACATGATATAACATGAAAATCTGTTAATAGCATATCAAATTGAAACAAAAAAGGACATTCACCATTATTAAATATTCCTTGACATATTGTATTATCAACACATAAATATCTATGCATTTCTTTGTGTCGAAACTAAAGCTCTTGCAATTACACATTTAATTCTATATTACCTTATAATATTCCCATATAGCCTACATACTGTGTCATTTATAGCTTATATCCTTGAATTAAAATCAAATAAATATTTAATAAATAATGTTGATATAAATCTTTTTTTGTTCTATCAAATATCAGAGCTTGAAAAACATTTGAGTTTATTTGGCCACCATTGTGTGACAGGGGCTGTCTGATGTGTTGCTGTAGTGTCCTGTGAGCAGAAGATGGCAGCAGAGAGGCCACATGGGCAGTGTCTCCTTGACAGGAAAGATCAGCGTATTCTGATATTCTAACCTTGTTAATTAGAGAGAGAATAACATACAACTGATACAGTACTGGCATCCCGAGAGGGAGTGGGCCCTTTTCTGTTTTTGATTCCCTAACAACACTGTTACTGGTGTTTGTGTTTGGCCTGTCAACATCTAGTCTTTGTAGATTTCAGAGACATGAGCATCAATAAATAACTATGTTTCTGAATGAGGACTTGATCCAGTGAAATAGGCTTTCATGTAAACTTTTACTACAGTACCATGATGTCTGCGTTTGGCAGATGCTTCCAGGATGGAGACACACTGGAGGTGGTGTGGTTTGGGGTGGGTTTACAGCGCTGTCTCCTTCAGGTCGTTGAGGTTTGGCATCCTGGTGCGGGAGGCTCGGGTAAAAGTGGGTCCATTCTGCCCTGGTTTGATGCCAAGCTGTTCGGGGGTGAACTGAGCACCCTCCGCCCGCTGTAAAGCAGACACATGCCAGCTGGACTCGATCTGTCCAGGGAGGGGATAGCTGGCCTTGCGGCTTTTGGCCTGGGCGGAGCTGCTCACCCCGGGGTGCCCCCTGCTGTCTACGTGCCCTCGACCCTCAGAGTAGCCCACTTTGGACGGGGGCTGAGGGGGGTTGGGGAGGGGGGCTTGGAAGCGCAGGTCTGGAGGAGGAGGAGGAGGCGGCTGTCCTTGATTTGAGGAAGAAGGTGAGAGGTGAAGGAGCCTGCGGAGTGACTTGAGTGGTTGACTCTGTTGTGAGAAAAAGAGATACAGTTGATCTAATGATCTTAAAGGATGAGGCTTCTATGTTTTTCTTAATTTCTACTAATTCCACTAATTCCTCTCAACTCTGACTTTACTATTCCTCCTGTGTTTATCTATCTATCTATCTATCTATCTATCTTCTGATTCATACAGCTTTTTTTGCAACTATTTCAATTTTTAATAATGTTTCTAGAGAGTATTTAATTAAGAATTTGATGAACTGTATACCACACCCTTTATCATGCAAGCCATTTGCCTCATAAAGACCTGGTAGGTTAAGAAAATCTGTTACTATGCAATAAATACAAGTTGTGCACACAACTACCTGTACCTGTCTGCAAATAACATGTTTGTGACAAGTTACCTAGAAAGTGGATGACATTCAATGAGGCTGACATGGAACACCTTTGCCTCACTTCCAGCTGACAACCCCTGCATTTCTGACTACAAAAATCCCTTTGTGCAAAGTCTTTCACATTTCATATGATATCATAAGCATAAATTTGGGTTTGAATTGTGTGTTGCAGAATGACTTTGTATGGCGAAAGCCTGTGCTCTGTGCAATGATCTTCAAGCTACAGTATTACAAACCTGAGAGTGTGAGTCTACCGGTTTGTCTGGTGGCCAGTCATTAACTCTCTCTCTCTCCCTCCCTCTTTCCCTCTCCCTCTCCCTCTCCCTTTCTCTCTCCCGTTCTCTTTCTCTGTCGCGGTCCCGACTCTGTTCTCGCTCCCGGTCTCGGTCTCTGGATCGCTCGCGGTTTTTCCGTCGGCTGCTGTGGTGAGAGGATGACTTGGAGCTTCTCTGCAGGGACAGGTGTTCTTGTCCGTTACCAGGAACCTAAGATTTCAGAAACAGAAATACATATATTATTAGTTATCCAAATTATGTACTTACTCAACAGCACATCTCACTAAAATCACATCTCAAATCCCGGTGAGGTTTTTCATGCACCCCTCTGGCAGCACTAAACAAAACACAAGGTGGTGATGATGATGACTTCGTACAGAAAAAAATGGACAGGTTCTCTAGAAGTTTTGTGCCTGAGTGGGTTTACACAAACTATAATATACAGTAGGGCAGCAACTAATGGTGTTTTGTATTATCAATTCATCTGTTGATTGCAATCAGAAGTTGATGCTTGCTTCCCAAAAAAAAAAGACATCAAAATAAATTTAATACAAGACAAACAAGCAGCAAATTCTCACTTTGGAGACGCTGAAATCAGCAAAAATTTGACTCTTTAAACTCTCTGCAAGAAAAAAAGCAGATTTCCTTATATGTTATATGAGTTAGTATGAGTTTGGACATATGTGTGGGTTCATGTGCTTACAAATGTGCTGAATATGTTCATGACCCTCATATGATAACACAATGTTTTATTCGAAAAGGATGAGTCTCGGCGTGTAGAAATGTTGGCCTCACAAACAGCACACACTGCGGCATGATATCAATGTCTTAACAATACAATGTGAATGTAAGGTGACTGCATTTGACATACATTATAGTGAGGGAAAATAGATGCACAAACACCGTGCAGTATTAGACTGAAAACATATTTGAAATCCTTTCAATTTAGAATATTTCGCAGCCAATTAATCATCAAGTGCTTGAGAGGATTTCAAACTAGGTCTTTCTGGTGAATGCAGTGTGAGTTAACATGCAGCCGTAGTGTTGAGGGTAGATTACTGGTGAGGCAGGGTAGGGTGCAGGAGGCTGGTGTTGTACCATGGGCGAGGCGACTACGGGTAGGACTTTGACAGCTGAGTTGTGCTTTAAGCTATTCTTAGAGCTAAAGAGGGGGAAAAGGCTTTTCTTGATGCTGGGGTTCCTCCCATCCTCCATGTCTGTCTGTGGAGCAGAAGACGCATAGCCACAACTCTCAACACAAATCTCTGACAGTAAGCAGAAAAAACTGCAGTACATCCTCAACCATCTAAATAAATACCACTTACCAAAACATACAGAGAAAATATGAATATTTGATTGTTAAGATAAACAAGGACCAACATCCTGGTGCGGAGGCTCAGACAAGCATTTAAGGATAAATTTGTTTAACTACACCTTGTGCCTTATCTTAATAATTTCTAACATTGTAGTATCCAAAGTAATTGACATGATGGAATCACTACAATGCGGTCAGCTGCGGCAAAATAGTGGTAAGATTGTCCAGACAGGTTGTAAACAAGCCAACATTTTAGCCAGGTTACTTTGTTTGGAGGTTCCTGCTTGGGTAAACAAGCTTCCGCCACACTGGAGAGACGAAAAATGAGGAGACTGTAACCTTCTTCGAATTAATAGATGAAATGAACATAAACACCATATTTCCATCATGTTTGAGTGGCATTTTTTAATTACATCATCTCATTGTGCCCTTTTCTTCTGCAGTGATTTAATGGCATGGAACATTAGCACCACCGCAACAATTTATCTCAAACTCTTAAAGTGGTCCTATTATACAAATATTCAGGTTCATAATTTTATTTAGAGGTTGTACAAGAATAGGTTTACATAGTTTTATTTTCAAAAACCACCACATTTTTGTCATACTGCACATTATTGCAGCACCTCTTTTTACCCTGTGTGTTGAATGCTCTGTTTTAGCTACGGAGTGAAGCATCTCACTTCAATTTGATCTTTGTTGGGAGCTGCATATGTGCAGTAACTAGTTATGGACTACTGGCCAATCAGAAACAGGGTAGGGCGGGTCCTAACAAACCCGTAACCAGGGCTTTGGTTCCGCTGTACATGACCTCTTTAAGATTCGTAAAACAGAAGTGGCAGAAAACATGCATTTACATTTTCTTTTTCCAATTGTCTAAAAATTGGACGTGTGAAGGTGCACGACTTCGTTAAGTACAGTAGGTCAATGTTGAGGTAGAAGCTGGCCTGCAAACTGTTATTAATGTTTACAACGGACAGTTTGGGTAATAATTTTAACGTTCACCTTTGTTGCCTCTTCCAGATAAGTTTGACTAACCTGGGGCTTTTTTTAACAGTATGTCTGATTGTCCGACTGCTCGTGTTTATTTGTCTGTTGCACTTTATTGTAGCAATGTTGCAGTGTTCCCAGATTGAGCAATTAGATTGGTGAGTCCAGTGTTCCTAACAATAGGAATGATGGAAACTAAAAGAATAAGACCCACGTTATTTAATAGAATTACCCGTTAACACTCTTTCCGGTAAATATCAGTGTTCATTCACACAGTTAGCACTGTTAACAAACAAATAGTTTTCAATGATGCCAAAAGATCCTGATGCTACATATAATAATTTTTGAATGAATTTCATAGATAAGGGAAACAACACACAGAACCAAAGGAAATATTTGTCTTGTATGAAATGACAGGTGACGACTTAAATAATCTTACTATTTGTGTCTTCTTCTTTTTCTTTTTAATGGCTCTGAAGAAGCCTTGCTTTTCCTTCTCTTTGGCTGGCTCTGGAGGATTCATGACCATTGCTTCTGCGGTGGTCCTACATGACAAATGTGGAATATTGTTCACATGACTCATGCTTGTAACTACAAGCTCAGGATTAAATCGTGACTTCTTCCCAGGTGTGTCTCATATGCTAGAGGAGAAACTAAATAGATAATGCAATGAATAACACTTTTACTATAAGTAACTATACTATATAAATAACACCATGGAGGCCTGTGTTTGAATAATTCTCAGTATTAAGATTTCAACTTTAAGTCAGCTAATAACTATAAACAGTATTCTTTTCAAAACAGAAAAATAAAACATTTTTTTAATAAGTAGTAGTGTTTCTTTTTCAGTTAATATTAAATGTGCACTCTTACAGTTTATGACAATAAATACAGTAACAACTGTTAACACAGTCAACACAAGTAAGAGATTATTTGTTTCAATCAAATGACAATACCATACACTTGAGGTTTGTTTCATTTAATTTCAGTCATTTAAAGACTGTGGTACTTATGTCTTCAAGCAGGTTGCCTTGACACAACCTTGAATGTACAGTCAAGAAAAATGCCATGCCAGTTCAAAACATAAATTCTCACCAGTCAAAAGCTGTCTGGCGTTTGGAGTGGTTGGCCATGGCAACAGGGTCTCCGGATACAACAGGTACTACTGGCCCTCGACCCTGCCCAACACCGTCATGGAAAGAGGAGGAATTATCTGGTCTGGGTGACGGGACTGAAGATAAATAATGAGGAGAGAAAATTATTAGAAGTGCATATTTTACTGAGGAGGTTTTGTTGGTAAATTTTAAAAGAACAATCTGCCTTCAAAATTATTAATCTGTGATGTTTCATGTTTCTGGTGTCTATCTATTCTCAGTGTTTTTTTTGCTGCACTCACAATTCCCCAAATCCACCATGTCAGCCAAGTCTATTTAAGCCCAAGTTGATATTTCTGCTTCTTTTATTATTATTATCTCCCTGTATAATTGTTGACAACAATACATTGTACTTTGTGTTTATTATCAAATGTTAGCATGCTAACACAGTAAACGTAAGATGGTGATTATGATAAACAATATACCTGCTAAACATCAACATGGTAACATTATCATTGTGAGAAAGTTAACATTATGTTAGCATTCTAACCCTTGCATTTAGCTCAAAGTAGTGAACTGCTGAAGTACAACAGTCAGTCTTGAATTCAGGAGTCAGGAATTAACTTTCCTTACACCGTATGTGGTGCCACACTACATATACTTTGTCATTTGGCGATTCCTGCTCAATACCTCGGTAGAAGCTGCCTACTCTCCGAGGCATGGACTCAGTGAAGATCATCCGGTTCTCCTTGGAGGGACCTCCATCTTCACCATGGGGGTCGTGATACATACCGACCTAAGAAACACACACATCATGTGGACACACAAACCCACAAAAACACACACGGACACAGGACCACACAAAGTTCTTCAGTATCTTCAGTTTTTTGATTGATAATCTCCATTTAATCTCACTTTGTTACTTATCATTAGCTATCACATTCTTTGCTGCCTCACATCACAAGACATTCGGGACAATCTTAGAGCTTTTCAGTGAAGTTACATTTATATCAGCGACAACGTGCAGTAAAGCTGTCGACCAGAGTAGAAACAGAAAAAGTTATGGAAACCAGCGGTCAGAAGAGCTACTGTCTGTGTTTGATAAACTGGTGGAAGGTAGGGAGGAGTCAGGGCGTCGGACCTCATTTTTAGAGCGCTGTGTATGAAATGCAGCAGTGTTGTCCCTCGTAGAGTCTTTGATGGGGGCACAAGGGTGGCTCATGTCTTTAGGGGACTGCTCACTCTGTTGAGAAGACGGACAGGCGCAGGTCAAAGCAGACTGGAGAAGCAGCATGAAGCAGAGGCAATGAAAATGTGAGACAGTGACAGTCCCAGCACACACGTTTGTGAAATGCCCACAAACACACACACACACACACACACGCACGCACACATTTTCAATACAAATATTAAAGGAATGATTCACCCAGAGACACTCTTACATTGTTTTATATGTTGAATGTATGGGCTTGAATGCATGTCAGAAAATGGGGTACTTCTCTCTGTGTGTTTACCCATTTTTAATTTACCTGCCTCATTGTCTCCTGTAAATATCCCAGATTCACTTTCAACAAATACTATAGAACCGCATTTACTTGTGAGTTTTAATTGTGCCTAGGGTGACAACTATTAAATTGTTGTGCATTTGTGGTCCCCAGAGGAGAAATCCAACTGACTTTTCTGTTTTTCTCTGTTTATCCCCTGACTTTTACTCAAGCGCCACCAGTGGGTTCACATTTATGGGTTTGACTGAAATGTCTCAGCAACTATCAACAACTTCAATGGACTGCCATTGAATTTGGTCCAGACATTCATGTCCTCAGCTTTAACTTGTGGAGTTTACATGCAGGTTTTAATTGCAGATGGAGAGCTTATACTTACATATTACTTACATATTATAATGTACAAGGTAAATTTAGCATTAGCTACAAAATTGTAAACAATGTAAAAAGCAATTTAAGCACATTTAAAGGAGACCTATTATGCTTTCCCATATTTTGACTTATGACTTATCTACAGTGATGGATGTTCATGTTAAACAAAGTTTCACATAATGAGTTTTATTTAATTTATTTAATTTTTTTAAATAATGAGGTTAAAGTATTTAAAAGAAATCCCTGTGAGCCAAAACCTCTGATTTCCTCCTGTTCTGAATGATCTGTTTTGAATAGCTTTTTCTACCAACGGTTCCGTTTGACGGACGGAGCCAGTTTTCCATATATGGTCATTTTCTCGCACAGCTACGCTCAGGCTGCGTTCTGATCCACAGTGTGCATGAACAGCACTCTCTACTCCCTGCTCAGGGATTGTCTATTAAGGGGGAAAAAAAGCACACGTCAGTTCCGCCCAAGCGGGAAGCTTCCGGTCAGAAACCTGAGGCGAACACGGAAGTCCCATAAACCTGCATTCTATTGAACGGCTTGCAGGTAGGGACTCTTCTGGTCGCATAAAGAAGTCTGGTTCAATTATAAATAATGGTAAAATGACCCTACTTCTCAGCTGATTTATTACCTTGCTAGATTCAAGTCTTCTTCAATACAAAATGATGTTAATTTAGAAAATTATGGTCCCATTCAGAGGAAAATAGACCATAAAGCAGAGTATGCTTCACAGCGGGATTTCTGTGATTAACTTGTCATTACCATGGCGACCTGTCAATCAGGCTACAGTGACTCACGGCACTGTGTAAATTTAACCAGCGCCGTTGAAAAAGCTTATTAGGAGTTGGTTGTTCATTTCTCTGGTGAGTCCATTTAGTTTTAAGCCTGTTGTTTGCTAGACAAAATTGTCAGCCCTGTTAAAATGACAGTTAAGGTGAGTTACAGATGCATCTAGCTAAGCAAGCTAGCTAGCGCCACCATCTCGTCCAAATATGGTCACGTCCGGTGCTGCTGGTTGCAAAAAATCAACATGACGGTGCCCTATCAGCCAAACTCGAGGCTTCAAAAGGGTGACGTCACGATGAGTATGTCCACTTCTTTTATACAGTCTGTGGTTCTGCTGTGTGTTACCCTGGTAACTGAAAACACCTCGGATACCTGCTGTTACTGTGGATATTTACTGAAATTAAATTTTTAATATATATTAAAACAAAAACTGGTACAATTACAAAACTTATTTTATTTCTATTCCATTGAAATGTATGTAACTTGTGAATGAATGAATGTGATTGGATTAAGATATGTGGTGTCATTTTAAAAAGTTCACATGAGCATTGTTTATAGGTTACCTAACCTCTGATATAGTCATATAAATAATGATAACATTAGTTACAACGACAATAATTACATATATACAAACTCTTTTGTCTGCTCCACTGTTAGTTTTTGCCGCTCCCATGAGGCGCAAAGGCTGATGGGTAATCCCTAGATGCCCTAGAATGGTTTTTATCCTATCTGTCAAATAGGAAGTTTTGCGTGTCTGTAAAACAACTATGTCTCTTCGTTCTGTCCAGTTAAATATGGTGTGCCTCAGGGGTCGGTCTTAGGACCCATTTTGTTTTCCTTTTATCTGCTTCCCCTTGGACATATCCATAAACATGGCATTTCTTTTCATATTTATGATGATGACACACAAATATACTTGCCCGTCAGATTAGCTTCATTACACTGGCTCCCAGTATGTTTTAGAATTGACTTTAAAATTCTATTGATTACTTTTAAAGCCCTTCATGGCCTCTCGCCTTGTTATATTTCTGAACTTTTAGTTCCATACACACCAGCACGTACCTTGAGATCCTCGGGCAGAAGTCTGTTGTCTGTTCCAGAGTCTTGACTGTAAACTAAAGGGGACAGAGCGTTTGTTGTCAGGGCCCCGAGGCTCTGGAACAGCCTGCCCGAGGAAATCAGGTCGGCTGAGTCAGTGAACTCTTTTAAGTCCCTTCTTAAAACATACTTTTATAGGAGAGCCTTTCCCGATCTTATTTGACTTTATTTTATCCCTTTTATTTTATTGTATTTTACTAATTTTATATTTATCTTAAACGTGTATTTTAGTCTTTTCAATGTTTTCATGCTTTTATCTTGTATTGTTTTTGGATTATTTTCTTTTGGGTATTATTGTCTTATCACTTGTTAAAGCACTTTGTAACTTGTTTTTGAAAAGTACTCTACAAATAAAGATTATTATTATTATTATAATCTTTCTTGTTAACTTCCGGCGAAGTGATGAACCGCTGTTCACTTCTTTCCTACACAGTTCACAATGCCCTTTGAACTGAACATGTTCCCGTGCTCCCTGCAGTTTGGAATCTTACTTAAAATGGTCAAATACCCTGTGCAGTTAACTTTTTTGAACTTTGAATCATGCAAAGCTGCATTACAGGAGTCACAGAACTATAATATAGGACTGGAAATGCAGTAAAATAGGCCTCCTTTAAAAGCACAATGTGTAAGAATTAAGACTACTCTCCACCTGTCGAATTCCTACTCCAAGCTGAGCTATACTATCAGATTCTTGAGATAGAAAATGGCATTACAAGACAGTGTGGGCCAGGGTTCACTGGTTAGCATGCTAACTTCGGTAGATATTATACTTTTCAAATGTTTTAAACCTATATTCTGGCCATATCTTTCACATTGCACCTTTAAGAAAGTGTCTTTTTTAACTGAAATCTTGGTAAAATGACCATCAATCATACGGACATTTCAACAACTTCAGATGTTGCTGTTGCCATGGAGCAACTCCAAGGTGTCAGCTACCCAAAAAGAAAGAACTAATATAGTTTTTGTTGACTTGCAGCCTGCTCCACCATCAGTTCTTTGTCAAATATGGGCTGTAGGCCAGGATTTAAAAAATACTGATGTGATCTAAAAATTTGCCCAGCATAATCCCAGCAGCATGAGAATTTTAGGCAGCAATCAAAATAAATAAATAATTTTTGTTTAGTTTAGTTTTTTAGTATTATTTTACAGGAAAATGTTAACATTTTTCTACCTGAGTTATACACCTCTATTTTCTTTATTTTATCTCCTACACCTTTGTGTCTAAATGTTGTTTAAAACCCTCTTTACTATGACAGATATGTCATTCTGGTGGAGAATACTAAATTAAATCCCTTTTATTTAATTTCAATATATATAGTTCTTGCCTACACATTTTTAGTTAAGTCAAGTTATTTAGTATAAAAAATATCATAATCTAAAAAAAAACACTTGATGTCATTAAATTACCAAAAACACAACCTCAGAGTTTTCAGTGTCAGACATCATGTGTTTTTTAAAGGATGAACTGCTTTGCATTTTATTCAATTAATCATTTATCACTCACAAAACAAAATATTGTAGCTTTGGTAGTATTGTCTACATTTAGCTTTTTACACCTGGGAATGAAAAAAAAAATACATCACAATATAATATAATGGACCCTTTTTATGCCCTTAGTGTCAGTAATTTAGGGTGAATGTTTCCTTTAAGTACCACCACACTCACAGGACTGTCTGCCACTAACCCTCGTCATGTCTTCAGTACAGTCCTCTCTTGAAGAGCTCACTGAGTGTCCAGTGAGGGTGGTCCGGTGTTGCAGTTGAGGGGAGAGGAGCTGCAGGCTACTGGCACGTGTCGGTATCACCTGCCCTGGTGCTGGCAAGCCTGCCATCCCGCCCTCAACCGCGTGTGGTCGATGGCGCTCCCTCCTCACATACATAGAGTGGCGTTGAGGCCGTTGCTGAGAGGAGAATGGAGAGGTATAACCCAGGCCGTAATGATAAGACTCATGTGGGGAAGGAAGAGTGTGAGTGGAGGGCATCACTGTTCCTCCTGGGTCTAAGAGCTCTGGAGCACTGGCCTCCTCTGGAGATGAAGACAGGACAAGAGCGAAAAGACCAAAGTTAATAGCGCTTCAAGTAATGATTATTTTTGTTTTTGATTATTCTATTATTTTGTTTGATTACACATTCAATCCGCAGTGACATCTTCAAATGTTTTGTTTTGTTCAACTAAAAGTCCAAAATCAAGGATTTAATATACAGAGATAAATAATAATGAAAAAGAAAGAGATTTAAATGCTCCGTATTTGTATAGCGCCTTTCTAGTCTTTTCGACCACTCAAAGCGCTTTTACACTACATCTGCATTCACACACATATTCACTGAGCCTAAGTGCTCAAACAGAAACTAACCTTCACACACATTCATACACTGGCGAAACAGCCGCATTTTCAGAAGTCTTAGTAAAGACATGGGCTCTAAAATCCAATGAACAATGTGACAGAACACTGATTTACTGCATCTTTTTTTCTGAATGGACAGTGAATGTTAAATTAGTCAGTACCAAAGGCAAAATTGGAACTCTTCTAAGAAAATAATTTAACATCATTGTGCAAAAATGAGTACACCCCAATGAATGTCCTAGGAGAAAAACCTGATACAATTGTAATTCACAAGAAACTACCAACAGTTGAGTCCAATCAATCATCACACAGGTGGCCACAGGATAACAGACACTTAACAACGATATTTAAGAGAGAAAATCCACTCCCATTCAATGCTGACAAAATGGCACCACGTGAAAATGAAATGTCACCTGAGAAAAAAAAAAATTTCTTTGCACAAAAAAGGTCACGTTTATAAGAAAATTAGTAAAACACTGCTTATAAGTTTGAATACTGTCTTAAAAGTGATCCAAAAGTTCAAATAGGATGGACTTCTGGGAAGCTTGCTGAAACATCCAGGCCATCAACAGACGTCAAGAGCGTTTCTTGAGAGAAGTTAAAGAAAATTGGCATGCAAGTTCAGCACAGTTAGCTAAATCATTACAAAGTCAAACTGGGGTGAGTGTTTCCCATGAAACCATATGTACACTGTAGAGCAGTGGCTTACATGGCTGTCGCCCATGCAGAAAGCCACTGCTTAAGCCCTTGCACAAAAAAAGCTTGTCTAGAATTTGCCAGGGCCCATGCTGCAAAAAAGGCGAAGACTGGCATTGCAAGGGTGAGGAGTACAATGAAAAATGTATGGTACCAGCAGGTTTGCATGTGTGCTGCAGGTGATGGGAGGTTGCATTTCATAGATGGCATCATGAATTCACAGATTTACTGCGAAATACTGAAAGAGAAGATGTTACCATCACTTTGTGCCCTAGGTCGCCAGGCAATCTTTCAACATGATAATGACCCAAAACATACATCTAAGGCCACTGGTTCATTTCTGAGGAAGAACAGGATGATAGTGTTTCAGTGGCAGCAGACCTCAACACAACAGAACACTTGTGGGGAGTTCTGAAAAGACAAGTTGAACATCATTCTCCATCCAGGACCTAAAAAAGTTCATTCTTCAATAATGGAAAAAGATAGATGCAGCTGTATGTCATCAACTTGTTCATTCAATGTCTGGAAGACTTGTTGCTGTTCTTAAAAATCAAGGATGATACACCAAATATTTCACTTAGAATTTGTTGTAGGGTGTACTTATTTTTGCAACACCTCATCTGAATGAAAAAAATATCCTAAAGATGCTAGGTGACCACACTCCTATGTTATTAAAAAATAAAATGTTTAATAACCTGTTGTGTAAAAATGCAGCAAATTGGTCTCATAGTCACTCAGAAATGGATAAGAGCCTTAAATTTCAAAGAGGTGTTCTCATTTTTGCTGGGCACTGTACATAGAAAAAAAGCCTGAAGCAAGAGGCAATTTTATATTTATTGTGGACAATGAAGGTGACCTTTGAATACAAATCTGACTCTTAAACCTGTAGTGCAAAACTTCTTTCTCCCCCCTTCAGACAGTGAAATTAATTACACAACACTGTCAACGTATCATGTTAATGACATATCGCCTGTGCCATGCTGAGTTAGTGCTGTTGCTACAGTTGCTCTCTCCTTCACCTCTGGCAAACCAATCATTGTTGTTTGCCTAAAAAACACACCACTACCTGTTTGCCAATGTGGGAATGTCACCACAGAAACTAGATTTTAAATCTACTGTATACTGTGAAATACAGAGGCTTAATTAGCATTGAGTGAACTTGATTGTCAAGGGTTTGAAACTAATGGATGTTCATTTATAGGTAAAAGTCCTGCACTCCAGCTTTAAACCTACCTGGTGCTAAAGATTTATGTCTGGATTTGTGTCTGGATGAGGAGTCAAGTGTGCTGCTCTCCATGCGGACATTGCCGCTGCTACGAGAGGCGGGGCTGTGCCCGGATCGATCACTGTGTCGAGTAGAAGGGCTGCCTGGCGGCCCCGGAGGACCGGAAGGGGCGTTGAGGTCTAAACAGCTGGCAGGGAAGAAACGGGCACCGGGTCCTACCCCTGCTGTCACATTGGAGTTCGGGTCTTCTGGGTGGAGTCGACCATCGCTGAGGTTCCCTACAGATTTGGCATCACTCAGCGCGCTGTGGCTCTTGGACAGGCTGAGATAAGAGGCTGAACTCTTAGAAGAGGAGGACATGGATCCATGGGCAGAGTCGGCCATATTGTGGGCATGTCGGACATGTTGTTTTTCTGCTCCAGACTGTAGTGTGTTGGTCTTGCCTTCCAGAAAGGTATGACGGTTGGCTTGCTGCTGCTGCTGCTGCTGCTGCTGTTGCTGTTGCTGCTGTTGCTGCTGCTGCTGCTGCTGCTGCTGAGAGCGAGAGGAGCTGGGTTTGCCGTGGCCGTACTTTGCCCCGTGGTCCGGCAGCTTTGGGGAGGGTCCCAAGCTGAAATCAAACTCCGTCTTGCCTTTGGCTTCTTTGGGACTGAGGAGGTGTGGCAGGTTGTTATTCGCCAGGTCTTTGTTGGATGAGGCAGAACGATTAAGGGTCTGGGACATGTACTGGGCCTTTGGGTGGAGCGTAGGACTTAAACTGGACGGGGGAGGTTTGTTACCATTAAGGAAACCCTTGTTGCTGAGGTGATGGAGATCGCCATGGCGGGGGAGGCTGGAACATTCTTTGCTGTTGGAGCGACGGCTCGTGCTCTTAGTGTGACTCCTGGTGGGGCAGATAAGGGAGTGTTGGTTAATACACTGGCATTATATTAGGCTTGATCTCAAAGTCCTTAAAATCTTTTTGTTTGGAAACTCTCTCTATTCTCTATTCTACTTTTGTTGCAGCCATTAGAGCAACTCTCTTATTTTTAAATCAATCAAGTGCCACCTAAAAGTAATTTTTAGTACAATAAAATCTGGATAGAAATACTATATCAAGATAAAATCAAATCTGAGAAACGAGGCAAATCAAATCTGACATTTAAAATAATACAAAAATGGAATAAAATACCCAATAATAGTATAAAATAATATCAGCCAACCCTGCATGGGATGGTCAATGTAAAATGGTCAAAATGGTCAGTGTAAGATGACTGCAGGCAGAAGCTGTGACAGAAAGTAAAAATCAAGGAATGTAGTCTAACCTTGTAGGAACTGTGTTCTCTCCATGATGGTGTGTTTTCCTCTTGGAGGAGCGCGGTGGGTTGGGAGATGCAGGAGAAGGCCTCTCTCGCTCTGCCTGCCTCAGAGGCTGGAAGGCCGGATGGTTCAAACTCTGCTCTGTCAGAAAACGCTCAGTAGGGTTTAGCAGCAACAGGTTCTGATGGGAAGACATATTGGCGTATTTTAAGCTTGCATCTAAATTTTTCTTGATACAAATATAAATTGTTGACAGAGACTAACAGGAATAAGTGGATAGATTAAGCATGTATAACACATCATGTTCAGAGCTTAGAGTTTGAGTATTTCTTTGTATTTTACCTTCATCAGATCCAACATCAAACCACTCAATATGCCTTGGTATCTTCTCTCCAAAGTCTGAGGATGACTAACTGAGGGAAACTGGAACATACACACACCGGATCAAATTGGTATCCAAACTGAACTTTTTTTGTGCATTGAAAATTACTATTACGATTTCCAATATACAGTAGATGTTCATGCCAGTAAAAAGTAACTCTCAGTTCAAATCACACAGAAATATATCACTGGATCACACTAAACAAACTAGCAAACACACACACCCACACACGTGCACACACACACACACACACACACACACACACAAAAACACACACAAAAACACACATTAACACACAAAGTCTTGTTCAGCCTTCTGGGACATTTTCTCTTGCTGCTAAACTGAACACCAACCACCTATCTCATGAGTCATAGCAGTCCACTCAGTCATGGTGCTGGGAACACTGCCACGAGAGAGAGAGAGAGAGAGAGAGAGAGAGAAGAGCTGAAGAGAGAAGGATAGGAGGTAAAAAAAACAGAGGGGGAGGAGAAGGAGAAAGAAGAAGCAAAGAAGAAGAACACAAGTGACCACAGAAAGGATAGAAAAGAATTGTTTTATACCCTGATTCCATGAAAGCGAGGGTTGTTATAGAAGAGTTTCATCTGCTCTGCAGGAAGCGGCCCCAAAACCTTCTGAATGGTGAAGAGCTAGAGAAAAATGAAGCAGCATCATAGTTAATAAGTGACAGTAGACTGCATTTGAACACCATGTCTAGAACTCTCCTTGGTCATTCTTTGTAACATTTATGAGCATTTTAAAAAGGCTTTAAATGTTAAACGAATAGCAACAAAGTTTTTACTTGACCTTGGAAACAGCAGTTGATAAAACAGTCTCACCTCAAAGTCCATTTAGTGCAGACATTTCTAAGTGAGATTGTTATGTCAGCTGCTGTTTCCAAAATCAAGAACAAACTTTTGATCTCAACTTTTAAGCCAATGTGGAGAAGACATCCTTAAAGTTCTCAAAATAGGAAATGTACAGTAAATTTCCATGACAACTGGGCAAACTCTATCTGCTGATGAAGATCATGTGACAAACAGCTACTGAATAGACCTTTAGGATATTTTTTCTAAATTATGGATATTGCTGCAGTCGCTCTTAAAAAAATCAAATTAACTGTGATTTTTGTGTATTTTAAATGTTTTAACTGCATTCAAGAGACTGCATTTTCCCCTTGCATGCAAACTTGTCTATTGTTTGTATTTGTTTAAACTTGCTTTGACTGATTTTCTGTCCACTAGGGGGCAGCAGAAACAAGCTGTAAACAAAACAATGACATATTATCACCTTATAAACATGTTAGCAACTTGTGGCTTTTTTATACATTGAGCAGTAATGGACATGAACATTACGACAAGGCAAATTTACTTGTATAGCACATTTCAACAACAATGCAATTCAAAGTGCTTTACATAAAACATAAAAGCAACGAAGGAATATAAAAAGAAATTTAACTATAATAGTTCAAACAGGACAGTGAAAATTACAGTGCAGTGATTACATTAGCAGTAATTGGGAGTGTTTGTGTCGACCTGATGAACACCAAAGTCCAATATTAACTCTCCTTTTAGCTTTCTTTTCCTCTCTACCAACTCCTACAGGAAATATTGTTGTGGTGGCAGCCCGGCTGACGGTGAGTGTCCTGTTTTTTTCTCCTTTTTATCAGTTTTCTGCTTTTTTCCTTGGTTTTCTGTTCTCTGCCTGCTTCCCTGTGTTTTCTCCCCTGTGTGCTCTCTCTCCCTCTGCTCCTGAGCCCCGCCAACTACCTGCACCTGCATTCCATCAGCCACCTAGTCAGCCTGCCACACCTGCCAGTAGTCACCTCATGACTGCCTGTATTTCAACCCCAGTTCTCCACACCATCCTCGCTTGATCGTCGTTGCTCCATACCCGGTGCCACTTCTGTGTTCAGGCTTCCATGTTTCTTGTTTTTTCACATTTACCCTGTGCCTTGTCGCTGTCTTCCCTAACCTTGTCTCTCTGTCTGTTTCCCTCCCAGGTACACTCACCCTCGTCCTCCGTTCGGCTGGGCTCATCCACTGGCCCACTCCTCCTCGGACTTCCCTCACGGCGTCCTCCCTGTTCCCCCGCCTCTCCTCGCTTCCTCGGCCCCTGTGTTCCCCGGCTCCCTGGCCCCCTGTCTCCTTGGTTCCCTGTGCCTGTGCTTCCCTGACGTCCTCCTCTCCCTCCACTCCAGTCCCTCTCACCCTTTTTCCCTCAATAAACCTCCTTCCCTCAGAGTGCTGCATTTGGGTCCTCTCTGTCCACACACCACACCCCGTAACAAATATAACCGTATCTTTAGATGCTAAAGGCTCCACTATGTTCACCAGCTATCTGCTAACATTGCATATCTGTTGTTTGGTGGCATGCAATCACTTTTAAGAGCTAGTTGCTGAAAACAGCTGCAGGTGAGAGTAAACTAAAATAAAAACCACCACCCCACCACCATAAAAACCAAAACAATGAGTTAAAGAGGTCACATTAGGCTCATTTTCAGGTTCAAAATTTTATTTAGGGGCTGTACCAGAACAGGTATACATGGTTTAATTTTCAAAAAACACCCTTTTTTTGTTTTTGTCATACTGCACATTGCTTCAGCTCCTCTTTTCACCCTCTGTGTTGAATGCTTCATTTTAGCCATGGAGGGATACATCTCACCTCTACAAGATCTTTGTTGGGAGTTCCACATGTGCAGTTTCTAGTTAAGGATTACTAGCCAGTCAGAAGCAGAGTAGGGTGGGTCCTGAGAAGCCGGTAAACATGGCTTTGGTTCAGCTGTATATCCCCTTACCAGCTTAGCAACATGGACTGGAGCAAGAGTTTCAGAGTGGTGAGTTATTAATTTGTATAAAATATGGGATACATGAATCCATAAAGTCTCGTGGTGGCTTGGGCTGGAACTTGGGCTCTACTAACTAAATGTGCAAATGGATGAATCAATAAATTTATTTCAGTTAGTGGGTTAGTTGATTGAGGGTCTACAGACAGAGGGTTTTCTATGTTGTAGATATTGTACAAATTTGAGTTTGGCCTGTATATAGATACATTTGACTGAGCTTGTTTAATCAATAATATGTTAAAAAGTAAGGACAAATGCTTATTTCCAGATCCAAGAGCCCACCATGTCATCTTCCAACTGCTTATTTTGTCTCATCCATACAATAGAAAGATATCTTTCTTGTCCAGGTGTTGTTCCCAAAACATTTTGAGTTATTTTCGTCACTGTTCCTGCTCCCTTTAAAATGTGCATTTTATTACATAAAAAACTTCAAACCCAAATCGGCTCTTCATCAGGTCAGAAGAACCATTTATTTTGTCCTTTTAAGAAACTGAGATAAAGAAAAGTTTTGTATCCTCACAGTGGAGAAGCTACTGTACCGTCTACAAAAATCTGCCGTCCTTATTTGACAAATTTCTCAAAACGATTAATCGTTTATCACTGTAAAATCATTGCTGATTAATTTTCTGTCGAACGGCTAATTGACTACTGGAGTACTCGTTTCATCACGACTTGGGGCTCACCAACCTGATCTATCTCACTTTCCCCTGGAAACAAAGGCTGTCCGTCACTCAGCTCGCCGAGGATACACCCCACAGACCACATGTCCACCGCCTTTCCATAGGGAGCCCTGAGATGGATAGAGAGAGAGAAAGAGACAAAATGTTATTTATGTGAAGAATGTCAATGATAGCTTGTGATGAAATTATCAGTTAGATTGCAGCACTGATGATAGTGATGGTGAAAATGAGAATCAGGATGATAGGGGTGAAAATGAAGTAACCAAATGAAGAGCAGATGATTATGACAATGATGGTGATAACATTTTTAGTGGTGGTGAAGTCAAACAAAATAATGGATGCTGTGTTTCTCATGGAGATGCTCACAAAGAAGATGGTCATTTCTGAGTGAACAGAGCTGAGGAGTCTGGTGAGAAATGGCGAGAGATCTGGCAGCAGAGAAGCAGAGGAGCAGTGGTGTTGGAGGGAGAGAGTATTTGAGTGGGTGGCATTCAAACGCTGTCTCAATAAATGTTCCAGGGCATTTACTAAATCAGGCTACAGCAGTGAGGCTAGATGACGTTCAGCTGTCTCCAAGCTAGAATGGACATTCAATGCAGCAAATGTATCAAAAACAACTGCAAAACAGAAATTTGATCTCAGGATGTGGTGTGTACGGCGGTTCTTGACATATATTGTAGCAGGTGAACCATCGCCTCTTTTTGGGGAAAAAGAGTAACACCTGTTTCTCAGTGATCTGAGAAACAATGAGGGTGAAAAAGGGGAACACGGACATTAGAAAGAAACAGAAAAATAATGTTGATCTTAATAAATAAAATATAATTTTTAAAAATACTTTAATATAAAACTGACCATATGGGTGAAATTTATCTCAAAGAACCATACTTAATTTAACCATTCTGTTTAATTAACATTGACTTAACTTAACCACATTGCCTGTGGTCCCACAGACCCCGCTGCAGTATGTGTGATAAAAATACTAATAGTCAAAATCAACTAATTAATTATAACTAAAACCCAATATGTGCAAGGTTTTGAAGTACATACATTTCATGAGGGTGACAAAATAAGGAAATTATCATAATGCAAAGTTAAAATACCAAATAAGGAAATATCACATGTTAATTATGCTATTATGGCCGTTGAATGAACACATATCTATTCCTTTATTTTTATAGTGTTTATAGTGTTTTGTATTTTACCAGATGCAGAACATGTGAAAATACATTTTATTTAACCATGTTTCACAGCTTCAGGCCTAACAGAAGGAATGCGTCACTTTCAGTAGCAGACTTTTCAAATATGCCATCAATTCAATATCGCACTGTAAACTATAAATCTTAAAATTACAAAAAGTCATGATGTATCAAGCTGATAAAACCATGTTAAGTATGTTTTGAGCTGTTGGCCTCCAGAACACTAAACAGGACATTAGGGTTATTCCAGTGCTTGTGAACCTTCATCAACAACCTGCCAAATACAAAAGATCCATTTTAGACAAATTTAATAAATAAAAATAAGTCCAGTGTATTTCAATTAGAGATGAAACTCTCAGTTATTAATCAAGTAGTCAATCAACAGAAAAATTTATATATTGGCAGCTGGTTACAGCTTATCCAATAACAAGATATGCTACTTTTCTTTATATATCACTGCAAATTGAATATCTTTAGGAGTTTTAAACGTAAATGCTCCGTATTTGTATAGCGCCTTTCTAGTCTTTGCGACCACTAAAAGCGCTTTTACACTACATCACATTCTGGGTTCACTATCTATTCACTATAAATTGTGGTTTTACTATGTTTTGCTGATGTTTTAAAGAACAAATGATTTAAGCTAAGAGAGAGCAAATTGTCCTATATAACTTCAAGTTTGGTGATTTTTTTTTTAGATAAATGGAAGGATTGAATGTTCCTCTTGAGCTTAAGATAAATCCTATAATTAAGCTAAATAAACAATAAAAAGCAGAGAAATCATTTTTTTGCATATTCTTATTGGAGTAACTTCTTCAGCATGGATCACTGGAAACCACAAGCTATCTGTTTACCATTTCAGTATTAGCACCAATACAGGCCTGGAGTGTCGCTCCCAGCTGACATTGAGTGAGAGGTGGGGTACACCCCGGACAGTTCGCCAGTCAGTCACAAGGATGACACAGAAAGGCTGGCCGACAGGGTCGAACTCCCAGAAACCTCTTTCTATGAGGTGATAGTGTTAACCACTGCACCACCATTTATCACTCCTTCAATCAAATGAAAATGTTCCACAAGTGCTGTATAATTTTAGATGCATTTTTGTGAATATTCAGCCTGACACATTTGGGAGTTTTGGAAACTTTGGTCTCAGTTTATTGTGACTGGCACACTGGTGGGTCGCTTTATTTACAGAGTCTATCATTTACTTTTCATTCAGTCAAATTACTCTAACAAGATCTTCGCAGTGACTTTGGCAGATTTTGAAAGTGGGAAAATGAGAGCACTGTTATTGGATCAGTACTGTGGTATTGGCAACGGTATCGGCAGAGAAAATGATTGGTCTGTGTGTCTCTATCTGATACAATGTTACACAAAAACTCTGAAGAGATAAACAAAAATAATACTGTGAATTATTAGCAACAGCCAACAGAATGAGGTCCATTTTTCTCTCTTCTTGTTTCTCATTTAGTCTCCTACACACACACACACACACACACACACAGACTCACCCCAGCAGCAGCTCAGGCGAGCGGTACCACCTTGTAGCCACATACTCAGTGTAGTTGGCATCTGTTCCTTCAGAAAGGTTACGAGCAAAACCTGAGCCAGAGTAACATGGAAATGAGTAAATCACATACACCTGATACTGTATTTTAAACATCCAGCACTCTGTGATAACATGCAGACTATTTGTAGTCCTTCAAATAATGGTATAAATAACTAATTAAGGATAAAGTACAATCAACAACCAAATCATTTGGACGGCTACAGTGACAACATGATCATCATCTCATGTGACCACACTCTAACTAATTCTGTCACTGCAGGCGGGCTGAGACCATGCTTTAGATAACTGGTGTACAGGGAGTTAATTTTAAGCATGAAAAATCACAATAAAAAGAAAGCCAGCTCCAACAGTGAATAACAAATAAATCTCACCCCAGCTGACTCAGTAGGGTTGCATTAGCCAATTATGCAAAGCTGATTGACCGTGTGATTTTGCAAAGACTCATCCAAATGTAGAATATACACCTGGGAAACTGTAAAATGACAAAACTATGCTGTATCTATACATATTAGTAGTATTTTACAGGGAATAGGTGCCTAACATTAACCTGACTGTCTTGAAATATACCTTTGGCAGATTCATTGTGATAACAACCCCCGGAGTACATTTTATAATGCTGGTTGGCTGCTTCCCAATGACAGAATTGATCCCTTCTGATACACAACTTACAAGGTGACAAATTAATGGTAGGATTTTTCACAGGGACGTGAGCCCAAGAAATCAAACTGGACACAATGAAATCACAGATGTAACTCCAAAAATCACAGATATTTTGACAGCATTACGACGAATATGCACATACAGTGGGATGTCTAATAAATCACCAGTAAAAGCTGATTCAGTCTGTTAAACACATTCCTTGATTTTACAATGAGTTGCCTTTATTTGACAAGGCAAATGTGCAGAGACTGTATGGTTTTACTGCACATGTAAATCTCTCGTGACAATATGGCTGCTGTAAAGAAGAGCAGGAGAAGAACAATGACTCACCAAAGTCACAGAGTTTGAGAACATCCTCAGAGCTGATGAGGAGGTTTTCCGGCTTGATATCTGGAGGAGAGACGCAGACAAAAGGCTGCTAACAACATGTTTCAGTTACAGCACAATATCCTACAACATTCTAATACAGTAATTTAGTTGTTGACTCTTGAAGACCTGTTTTGGATCCTAAAACATTTTAAATGTTTTGATTTTCCACATTTTCTTTATTCACTCTACTGTTTTCTGTAAATATTATTATTTTTCTTGTTGGGAAAATATATTTGTTGACCTGAAGGCAGTGAAATTTAAATATCTTCAAGGTTCAGTGTGTAAGGTTTTAGTGGCATCTAGTGGTGAGGGTTGCGAATTGCAATCAGTGGCTCACGGTGCATTCATGTGCTCCTCGGATTGTCCCATTTCCCGAGTTGTTAAATCGTTCTTCTGTATTCAGTGTGTGTTCATGTGTTCTTAAATCGGGATGTGGAATCAACATGGACACGCTACTACAAAGATGGATTAGCATTATCAGAGCATATAAAAAACACACAGACATCTATATCACTGCACAGCAAACTAATTATAACAATAATAATTATAACCATATTACAAATTACATGTTTGCAAAATATGTGTGTGATTTTGCAAGAATCAAAGTTCTGTATACTAGTCTATGTCCCATGTACATTTTTATTTCTCTTTTTGCAATAAAGATTTAAGAAGAAAAAAAAAAGATACTGATTATACCACACAACTTGAATGCACCGCCACCCCCTCTCTTTCCAAGCAAGCATGAGAAGCTATGGTGGCTGTCATGTTCTGTCGGCTCTTGTGCTAAATAATACATGTGCTCCACCATTTGGCCAAATTTATCTTCTTTTCTTACTTCTAATAAATAAGTCGACAACTACTACTACTAGTAGTACTACTACGTTACTTGTTTTAGTTCTTCTTCCTCTTCATACGTATTCAAGTAGTGATGAAATGCACTCTGTAGAGCTCTTTGACCATTTGGGGTACCTAACATGGCGACGTCCATTTAAGAGGACCCGCAGTGTATGTAGATTGAAATGGCTCAATCTAAGATAATAAAATATTGTAATCAACCTCTAAGACTCCTGATAATCGGTTGCACTCCAGACTCATATTGACGGTTAGCCAAGGCTCTTTGGCGTCGCTTTTGAATGCCCTGGGTACCCCTTTAAGTGTCATTTTTAGACCTTTAAGGCCCCACACTCAAGTTAGTAACGCTTAGCAACAACAAATATGCAATGTCCGGTTAGACTTTCCAAATAAAACGCTAGTGTTTCGATACATCGTCATTTTGAAACGGGACGTTATTAAAGTCGTGAAACATTGCAATTTAGTTAGGTTTAGGCACAAAAAGTACTTGGTTAGAATTAGGCAACAAACTACTTGGTTAAATTTAGGAAAAGATCATGGTTTGGGTTAAAATAACTACACAAGTCAGTTAACACGCAAGTTAACTTACATCACTTGTGTGACTTACGCAATTTACGTAACTTTTTGTTTCATATGGGACACGAATCCCGGTTTCCTGGTTCATAGTCAGGGTTCTGGCTCTCCATCCACCCCAACCACCTCCTTACTAATTATTTTCTGTTAAACATCATATACCTACCTTTACTGTCAAAAACTGACGCTACAGGGCTACCCCCAATGTGTTGAACTATGACGCTATAGGGATCCCAAGTGCGCTACAAACTGACGCCGTCTTGACCATGCGACCATATGTGACGAGTTGGGGAGTGAGAATGGGCTGGATAATCAGAGTTAGTGACATAGCCAATTTCTTGTTGGTAAGGGAGACATTTTATAGATCACTTCAAGCATCAAAAGTGTCACAAAATTCTTGAATCATTGCCAGATTCCCCCTCTCCACTGTTTTACATGAGAAAACTTTGATTTGAAGACTCAACACAAGTAGCTGACATCGACTTTTTGTGGTAGAGACATATGGAACTAAAGATAAACTCCTCACCTCTGTGTACTATCTCATTCTTGTGACACCAGTTGATGGCTTTGATGAGCTGGTAGATGTAGCTGCGGACTTTATCAGGTGGTGCACCGTTGGGCAGCTCTTCTAAAAGCTCCAGCATGTTCTGCAAACAACAAAAAAAATGTACCTGTAGAAAATTATGCTTGTGTAGCGGGAATCAGCATCACAGAGAACCTGACATGTCATCTCACATCTGCACGCTGGTGAAGAAAGCTCAGAAACGCCTGTATTTCTTGAGGAAGCTTAAGAAGGCCAAGTTCCCACGCCAAGTTCTTGTCAGCTTTTATAGAGGAGCAATAGAAAGCATCCTGACTGGAAACATCAAAAACTGGCATGGGATGTGTATGGCCTAGGACCGGAGGGCTCTGCAGCGGGTGATTAAAACTGCTCCGAAGATCATTGGTACCACCTCCCAAGCATCAGTGATATCGGTGAAGTGCCTATGCAAACTCTAATTCATCCTCAGCACTGCTCCATTGATTATAGTTTGTTTTCATTGATAGTTTATTTCTGTTTACCATTTTTTTTATAATTTATTCTGTATAAATGTATATTGTTTGCTATGTAGCAGAAGGGAGTTACACAACACAATTTCACTCCATAACTTGTTATACAATGTGACAATAAACCTACCTACCTACCTAAATAATTCTTACAGTGGGGATTTTTGTTGGGTTTTTTTAAAACTCCGACCGGGGAGTGACAGGGGACACCATGCTAAAATGACTCGAGTACAGAATGAAAATAAAACCTGTCATGAAATCAACACTTGGCTGGATACCCTGGCAGCACAGTGGGGAATACCATTATTCACCAACAGCATAGTTCATTTGTTGCCATGGTGAGGCTTTTTTATGCTTTACTGAGCAGTCTCAACATCCTGAAACTTAAGAGTCCAGATACAGCCAAATACAGATATGTATTGCAAAAATGAATGTGTACACAGTGAAATAATAATGATAGTCATTAAGCTGACCCTCTCAACATATTCAAAGACAAGGTAGAGTTTCCCCCTCCTGCGAAAAGCCTCCTTCAGCTCGACGATGTTGTCCTGCTTCAGTGTCCGAAGCATCTTTAGCTCCCGAAGAGTCGTCTCCTTGACCTCCTCATTTTCTGTGCGGAAATTAAGGAGACAGAAATGATCCAGCTGTTTGGCTCTTCCTCTGTTGCTCCCTCCTTTACTCCCTCCCTCACTCCTTCACTCACCTTCGCTGTCTTTGAACTTCTTAATGGCCACCAGCTCATTGGTGTCCTGTGAAGAAATGAGGATGTGAGTTGTGTTAAGACCAAAGAAAACAACTTATTGAGTTAAACAAATGCCTCAGCAAGATATATAGACAGACTGATACAAATATACCTAGAACATTAAGATCACAGTAAAAAGAATACATAGAATGTATTTGTAGAAGGAAAGAAAAGTGAGGATATTTCAATAGATTTCCTGCCCACTCTTAATATGAATTTTTTGATGTGTGCCCAAAAGCCATGCTGATCCTCTTATTTCAATTATTTCAATGCAGGGCAGTCATGGAAAATAGCACGTCCTTGGCATAGTTAATATGCAGCTTCAGCTTCTTGTAGGTTGCTTGATTGACCTTGCTGAATTTGCTGGTGTGGTTGCAGATTCAGAGATTTACCATAACTTTGTTTCAAAGTCCGTGCAGTGCAACCGCAATGCAAAGGTTTAGACATTGCATATATGTTGCACAGTTTTACTGGAAAACAATATAAGGGTAGGTTTTGTTTGTGATCATATAGTGTAATCATACAGCAAATTTATGGAAAGCTTTTTTTAGTTTTAGGAAACACGTGCGTTTGTTGTAGCTTTTCATAGGGCTTAAACACAGGTCTTTTGTTCTTCAAAAAACCATAAGAAATGGGACACTCACAGGATAATCACGTCTTCAAATTTTCTTTATCAGGTTTTACTGTATTTATATCTACTATTGGGTATATTGGGTAAAGATTGACATCATGCTTTCATCACCCATTTTTCAGTGGAATAAATAATTAAATGTCAGTCTATAAAATGAGATTTGCAATGTTTTATGGCAGGTGCATTATCTTGCTGAAAGAGGCCACTGCCATCAGGGAACACCGTTTCCATGAAAGGGTATACATGGCCTGCAACAATGCTTAGGTAGGTGGTATGTTTTCAGTATCCACATGGATGGCAGGACTCAGTGTTTCCTAGGAGAACATTGCCCAAATCATCACTCTGACGTCTTTTCTTTCAGAACAAGCTTGAAAATTTTCAGCAGTTTGCTCCACAGTAGCTCGTCTGTTGGACCGGATCACACGGGGCAGCCTTTTCTCCCCATGTGCATCAATAAGCCTTGGCTGCACATGGCCCTGTTCACCGCTTTTCCATCCTTGGACCACTTTTGATGGGTACTGACCACTGCAGACCAGGAACACCCCACAGCAGCTGAAGTTTTGGAGATGCTCTGACCCCAGTCATCAAACCATCACTATTAGGCTCTTGTCAAAGTCAAAGTTTGAGGACAAAATGTTCACTTGCTTGTGTGCTGTGCACACAGTCTCTTTCCATGATGAGTGAAGCTTTGTCTACATACACTGCAGGCATGTAACATCATGAGCCTTTACTGGCATTACAACTTGTTATCCATGCTTCCAATATTTGAGTGGACCCGCAGTGTTTCTAATCTGTGTTGCTCTTTCTTTTATACCACCTGCAATAATTACTTACTTACAGTTCTGGTCTGAGTTTAAGTTACCAGCTACTAGCTGCTATTTCTCACTTTAATTCCATGTGTCAAGTTTGAACTAAAGCTGTCTAAACATGTGCTGTTTCATAAAAACACCTGAGTGCCATGTAAAAACATACGTCTAAAAGGACAAATTGTATTGTTTTCCAGCAAGTAGTTTTTTTTCTAAATTTCTGAAAATATTTATATATTTGCTGCCATGACATTTCTGTTCCACATCCTTGATTAAATGGGGAACCGGCCTATACAATCTTAATGTTGGACTAGGGCTGGACAATAAAACAATAACAATAATTATCGCAATATAATTTTTTTCAATAACAATATAACAAATGTTCAATAAATATTCAATAAATGTTTGATTTTATTCACTTGAATCATTCACAATTAGGACTTAATTTTTTATTAAGATGATTATTTTGTTGAGGAAAAAGGACTTAAAAAAAGCTTTTACTTAATTTTACTCATGCATGTGTGTTGAAAAACATTTTATCATAATTGTTTTGAATGTTCTACCTCAGATTTGTGAAGTGATCCACTGTTTGGCTTCAAGTGTTGACCATAAAGAAGAAGAGTTTAAACCACAATTAACCATCAGGTTTCTTCAACTTTTCCTCAGTAGCAGAAATCAGCCTTAAAAGCCTCAAAAGAAATAAAGATTTGATACTTATCGTGATAATAATCGATATTGAAAGATATGAAACTTTTTATCCTGCGATGGACTGGTGACCTGTCCAGGGTGTACCCCGCCTTTGGCCCAATGTAAGCTGGGATTGGCTCCAGCCCCCTGCGACCTTGTACGCAGGATAAGCAGTTGATGATGGATGGATGGATGGATGAAACTTTTTATCGTAGTAACATTTTTGGCCATATCGTCCAGACCTATGTTGGACCCTGAGGCTTGAGTGGGTAAAGTCAGTGAGGGAATAACAAGAAACAGGCTAGTCTCCCTCTGTCCTCTGTTATGCTCATGTTCCTCTATCGTCCTTTTGTTTAAGGAGGGTCAGACAACAGAGTCAACCTCTCAGTGTCGAGATAAGCTGACGAGGAGAGGAGCTGCACGCCGACTGGCAGTGCTCTCGCTCACACAAGCTGATTGTTTGACTGAACGTGTTTTTAAATCCAAAGCTGTCTGTTTAGAGATTTACACTTCAGAGATGACTGAAATAAACAACATGGATTTACAACTCTAACAACACTTAATCCTAAAAGTAATGTTACAATTTCCATTGAAGGGAAGTGTGTATCTGAATAGCAAATTGGGAGATTTACTGTGGAAAAAAGCAGTAAAAACCAGGCAAAATAGAAACACACATACAGCACATGTGACATTTCAAGCTTGGTGGCAGCACTATGTAATGTGCTGATGAGGCTTGTGCTCATGTGTAGTGTCCATGACCTCCACTGATTTACCTTTTGAGCCACTGTTAAGCCAGCACAACTAAAAATAGTCTCATTTTCTGCTGACGACACGAGCAGGCCCTGATTGTCACATTACACAGAAGAGTAAAGCCTGAACGTTTTGCTCTTCAGAGATGTAGCCAAGCTAAAACAGTCAAAGTCTGCATCTGAAACAAAGCCTCATTTTAAAGCGAAAAAAAACTATAATCATTTTCAACACTGATAAATATAAATAATTTTTTCATAGTCGTGAAATCAAAAGTAACTAGAGCCCAACGGAAGGTGTCTTCAGATAGCTTACTAGTAGTCAAAAACCACAACAGTATTCTGCTTGCAAAAATTTAAAACAGAAAAAATAAACAAACCCGTGAGAATCTGTAACCATACTCTTGCAATCTAGTGTATGCGGTCCAATGCAGTGAGGAATGCACAGACCTGTATATTGGGGAGACTAAACAACCACTACACAAACGCATGGCTCAACACAGAAGGGCCAACTCCTCAGGTCAAGACTCTGCAGTCTACTTACATCTGAAGGACAGAAGACACACGTTTGATGACCACCAGGTGCACATTTTAGACAGAGAAGATGGATGGTTTGAAAGAGGTGTCAAGGAAGCCATCTACAGGGTTGAGAAGCCGTCATTGAACAGGGGAGGGGGTCTACGCCACCACTTATCCCCCACTTACAATGCTGTCCTTTCATCACTTCCCAGGAAACTCAACAAACGTAACCTATTGGCCTCAGGTGAAGATACCAACGATGGTCGTTCAGTCTTGGCCACAGGTAGTCTTAACGACTGTAACGACTGTCGTCACAGCAACAAGGAACACTAACGAACCAGCGGTATCGATGACCCGGGATAATGATCCCGCTGAGGTTAAATAGCTGAGTTTCCCTGCCAGTCAGTCAGAACTGAAGAAGTCCTTTGGATAAGGGACGAAACGTCTTCCAGTATCTTCAACCAAGTCCAGTTGCCCTTCATTTTAACCTTTGTTGGATATCTTGCTACTATCTATTGTCACTTGTAGATCTCTTACTTTATTGATGCTTGCATGTTGTTCCCCAAATGTAAGTTGCTTTGGATAAAAGCGTCTGCCAAATGAGTAAATGTAACCAGCCAATGTTTAGTGTTTTTACTTGACAAAAGACTTAAGCAATTAACCTGTCATCAAATAGTCACAGATCCATTTTCTGTTGATCAGCTACTGCTAATGAATTAACATATGACTTTAGCACTACAATACAGCATAGAGATACTGTATAGGCAGCAGGAAACACTGGCTAGCGTGTAGGTTGTGCTATTGTTGCTCTCAAAACACAAATTCAAGATAACACATAAGCCTCCATACACACACCCACATACGCTAATACAACACTTCCATAAAGTGCCAGAACATTGCACAAACGCTAGCACACATTCGCTCTGCTAATTAAATGTTCCATCAAACACACACCATACTGTAACGTATACATCAGTTATATAGGAGCACATATTTAAAATGCATTTAATTTCTTTGTAGTACAGTTAGAGTCTGTTCTGAGTCACCTGGCTGGGTTTTAGCCCAGTGCTCAGATTCTCTTTGATTCCCTCAGCCATACACAGGTCTGCTGTTGATTCTTAACAGGGTGACCCATTTACCATCAGCATAGTCTCCATATTCAATACCTCCCTCTTCCTCTCCATCACGCGCACACACACACATACACACACACACACACACACACTGCTTCTCTCTCTCTCCCTCTTCCACCTTTTTCTCTTTTGCCCTGCTTCCAGTAGAGAAAAGTAAAAATAACTGCTCTCTTGCAGCAAAGCTAAAAAGCTTTTATTGCCTTGGTCTGACTCTCTGGCTCTAAATGTGAAAATTAATCCCCTACACTGTTACACACTGTAAGTGGGACACATGTCACATCTCACTTCTTAGTAACCCGTGAAGTCAAAGGACACACAGTTTAACATAAACACACTTTGATAGCTGGTATCTCAATTAGTATGAAATGGAAATTTAGAGATTGAGAGAAAATGCTGAATTTTAAAGAAAAAGTAATTACCTAAAATGTTATTGGGTTAGGGTTGTGCTATGCAATCATGAAAACATATTGTGTGTCAGCCACAGTATCTTTTCTATGGTATACAGCAAAGATGTTCGCCATATTTATTAACGTTTTTTCATGCAGCAGACGAATATGACAAATCTCGTGGTGCTTTCATGACACAGAATATAAGTCATAATCAATAACTAATGGCTTCTGTCTCTCCTGCTTGAACTCTCAGCTGTCACTCTCTCTCTCTCGCTCACCAAAATAACCTATGCTAGCTTTTGCATACAAATAACAGTCAGCAAGCCAAGTCAGTTTAATATTTATTTATATACACTTGCTCCTTTGTGTACTAGCGTTGATACAGAAACATTTGTCTCACAAATGTAGCATTTAACTTGAACAAAGACCTTAACCAGAGCACAAACACTTAAGTGTTGCCCACATTACAGACAGGCATATTTGGAAGATGAGATGATGGAAATGTGACAACAAATTTCAACACGTCTGATAATGCAGATTGTCCTTAAGTTTAGCTTTTATATGCCTCAGTTGGGTTGCAGCTTCCTCTCTCACTATCACATTCTGCTTACCATGTCCTTTTGTTCATGGTCCAAGAATGCACGCATTTGCATTTTTATAATTTCACTCAGTGTATATAATTTATGGTTCATCTAAAATTTTCATGAGGCATAGCGTTGAGAGAACTTCTTTGTCAAATGAAATAAACATGCACAAATGGCATGTACAGGAAAAGGGACCACAGGACAAAAAGCAAGCCCTCACAATACTAATGAATCAACCAACCTTTTTTTTAAATTCAGACACACAAAGTCGTACTGGTCAGTCATCCGTGTAGTTAGGTGTTTTTCACAAATATATTATGTTCATAAATGCGCTGACAGAAGGAACGATATATGACATTGTAATTCTATGCAGTCAAAGCTAAACATGTTGCTTTGTCCACACAGATAAATCTTTACTACAGAACATTTCAGAGTAATGTCAGTCTGATTCAGTTTAGGAGAGTCACAGTATTTCCACAAGTATATAGGTAAAATCTTTAAATGAGCGAAGAGATACAAGTGGATCAAGTTGTAGAATTTATAAAGAGACAAATCATTGTTGATTACTGGCTGATAAGAGAATACAGTGCAGTACAGACTGTTTACCCCTGCCAGAACTCCAGGGCCCAAACCAAACTTGTCTCCTACACATTACATTTATATACAAATTTGCAAATGAAAAGAAGTTTTGTAAGAAATGTTCTTAATTAATGCATCTGCAAAGTTGCAAAATCTTGTTATTGAATGTGTCAGCAAAATGTTCACTGACAATGTATTTGACTTGTTTTCCCTGCAGTATCTGCTCTTGCAATTCAATATCCACCCTTAGCAACCGAGGGTGTAATTTTCACCGTAGATGGGGTGGACATTTCCCCCTCATTTTTCAGGTTGATTTTCTTACTGAAGTCTCTCCAAAAAATGTTCTCTCAAGTGTTCAGCCACCACCATAATCCGCATGAGTGAAGATGTGAGTAGATAAAAATGCTGATACACAAGCTGAGAGGCCATTAATTACTAGTGTGGGGTCAAAGCAATGGAGCAGCAGCAAGTGATATGGCGAGTGCTTTTTTCTGCCCTCACTCTCATCTCTCAGGCTACATACAGGCTGCCTAACCTTCTTGTTGGGGGTTGTTGGAGCTGTATGCAGCTTGAAATTAATATGTGCTAACACTATTCAGGGCTGAAAAAAGCTCCTTGGAACTACATTTGTTAGTTAAAAAAAAGAAGAAATCACATAATCTATTTTAATTTAATTGTCCTAAAAAGATTGTGGACCTGAACATCAGTCAAAAAACAAGTTATATAATAATAAATATCAGTGTAATTTGCTATTTGTGAGATTGGTTTAAGTGTTATTTTAAACTTAAAAAACAAAACCAGATGTGTTTACTTTATTACTATGAGTCTGACGATATTAAAACATGATATTTCTTGTCAAGTTGTCAAGTTGAAACGCTGTCTCACAATATCAGCATGATGCAGTGTGAGGGTGAAATTAGCATAGCAAAATGTAGCTGCATTGCTTAGCTTATTTTGTGACTTTGTCAAATAAAAGAATATTTTACCAGTCATATATTTCGTCATTGAAGATTTATTAAAACTAGTCTTAAAATATCATCTCGTCATGTACCCGTGAACCCAATATCGTGCATTGTGTATCATCTCATCTTGTGAGCTCCATGTGTTGTCGCATCGCTATTTATTACAATTTAACTGAAACCATAAAGTTTCCTGAACCTTTGATATCACAGGATTCACTGGAGAACCTAAAGTCCTGCACCATACCCCAGACCACCCTATAACTTGTACGCAGCACATAAGGAAAATGTGCTGAGACACATAATGCAGACAGCAAAAAAGGTTACAAGGTTTCAAAGTATAATTGGTGAAACAAAATGAGTATATAAGAACAGGGTTACCCAAAGACCTTAAAATGGCATTTAGCATTTTAAGAAAAGTGACACAGGCTTGACGGAATGACAATGATAGCTATTATGCAGATTTACAAGATAAATTATTCACTTACAGTTTTGTTCGGCAGTAGTAAATGTGGACACGGCTATTTTTGTAGCTCTGTGACTTGTCATGGTTTCCTCCCAGTAAAAGGCACCTAAAATTATCTTTAATTACAATTTCCAACTTTGCTTTTTTACACATTGTTGGATAAAGAAAACTGAGAAGTCTTTGTTGTATAAGTCTTCTCTTTCTGTTTTCAGACAGAGCTGCATAAAATGGCACATTTTTGGCATGGTTCTGGAATATCTATTCATCTACAATACATTGTGATTATCTAAAATATGTACATCTAGGATTCCTTTCACCACTGGCGAACTGAATTATTTGTGTTGAAGGCAAAGGGCTCCTTGATTTCTACCCTCTATCACTATCACTAATATGTATGTGCTGCAATTATTTTGTCAATATTGAATAATGTTCAACATTGTTGGTGGTACGGATGTCTAAACCATGGAGTAAACATGGGTATTTTTTCCTTTGATGTTGTAATGCATTTATTGTATTTTATCAATCACAATATCAATTAATTTCATGTAAAATGTGTCGTACTCAATCCCATGATAAATTATGGTGATTGTTGATGAAATGCTTCTTTCGTTCAGATTAAACTGTTAAATAACATCACTTTATTAATGAGGCCTTGTTTGCAGGTGATAATAATAGTTGCAGTAATCTGCTATTAACCCCATTCCTGTCTCATCTGTTAGGTGTTTCATTCATAACAATGTTGATAGATTTAAATATGTTTTTAGCCTCCGAGATTGTTGCATTCACTTATGTACTGTACAGATTTCTAAACATATTGTTCCCGCTCTCTAAAACATCACCACTCCACACAAGATAGACAACATGCCAAAAACTATATCAAAAGCCAGGCTGGAAAATGCCTCCATGAACCTATCATCGTACGCAAATATCCAACACTTACTCAGAACTAAATGACAGCAGTATCTGCTCTTGCAATTCAATATCCACCCTTAGCTCAGAACTAAATGACAGAATAGTTTTTTTGCCAATCACTCCCAAAGCACCATATATGACGGCTGGAGAGTACCCTCAACAGGAGTGCCAAACCTTCATCATCATGGTTATGTAAGTTAAGTCAATCACGTTACGTCAGGTGACTTATTAAGTTGGCGCAGTTTTGCTAGGTTTAGGCACCAAAACCACTTGGTTATGTTAAGGAAAGGATTATGGCTTGGGTTAAAATAAGTAAGTTATGTATGTAAGTTATTTATGTTAAGTTAAGTTATGTAAGTCTTTCTTCTTCTTTCCACAGCATTAAGTATCACCATAACTGCAAACAATTCGACATTGAATTTATTGAGCATCTGCTGAAGCAGCAAAGCAACGTTAAACTTGTAGAAACTGCCAGTGATGTTTACATTTTGTAAAAATACGGAATACTGCTTTTAAACGTGCAGAAAAAAAGTAGTACCACGTTTTGTTTATGAGTTTGCACACCATAAGCAACTGGTGACATCAGGGTAAAAATGTACATCCCAGCTTGTGTGTAGTAATTACCATTGCTGATGACATTTATCAATTAAAATCTACTGGTAAAAGTAAGAAAGGCTAGAGGTGATCTAATATGATTATTCTGAAATTATTGAGATATTTATTTAGCTTATTCGTACTTATGTTTTACATTAAGCAGAAGTCCAATAAAACAGAAATACTAGGCATCCTATTCCCAGTTTCAATTAGGGCTGAAACTAATTCATTATCTATTATTCTGCCAATTACTTTCTTGATTATCATTTGGTTTATGTAACAAAAAGCAGTGGAAAACGCCAATGACAACTTCCGAAAGAACAAAGAAATGCCTTTAAATTCCTTGTTTTATCTGACCAACAGTCCAAAAACAGGCAAAATATTTTCACATATGAGAAGCTGGTATTGGCTCATATTTGGCATTTGTGCTTGAAAAATCACTCAAACGATTAATCGATTATTAAAATGGTATGACAATTTTTTGTCTACAATTTTACATTTGATTGTTCATCATTGTCTAATTTTACCATCTCAGAATACAGTGCAATACAAATACTTCATATCACAACAATGCAAGCCTAAACATTTTCACACAAATACACCTACAGAAATGACAAATGCTGTCTTACCTTATGCCTGCACTTAAGCACCACTCCATATGCTCCTGGATAGAGAAATGGAGAGAAAGACACAAAAGATCAATGAAAAGTGAGACTGAGACGTGTGGTTAAGTTTCAACATCTTAATTACGCTTTGGCCTCCTAAACCTCGAACAAACATGTTCTTAGAAAATAAGTGCAGTACGTGGGAACCACCAGAGAAACAACTGTTAATAGGTGAGGCGGAGGCATACGTACTCTCCCACACACTCAACACACGTATGCCTCTACCTTTGTCAACTACCACACACGCGTGCGCGCGCACACACACACACACACACACACAATACCTGTAGCTTTCTGTCTTTGATAAGCACACCATGTTCTCAGTGGATCATCCATATTGATGTCAGGTCTACAGCTGTAAATCTGTTCTTTAGGCAGGTCAGCCAAGACTTGCATTGGTTAATTATTTTCCATATCTTTCCAAACTGTTTTTGTTGCCATTCAAATCACACATGCAGCATAAAGTTGGATAAATGCCGCTAATATGAAACACTATGAGTCTACTCCCAGTTGTGCCTGTTCCAGTTTAAATTTTTTTAATTCAACTAGGGAATGAGGCAAGAACAAATAAATCATCCCACATGAATAAAACTGTCTCCATAATATTACTCACAGTTTTCCCCTAATGCATTATTCCCCACAGATATTTTGCATGATGGACAAATTAACAAACAAACAGATTGAGCTATAGCTCCTCCCTCATGTAACTAATTTACAAAAGGAAATCACCTTACACAAAAAAAAAAAAATCAGTCACATATTACTTAAACAACAAATTATTTTTGTGCAAGTCCCCTACCACAAGCCTTAGTGTTAGCTGTGGTTGGTAAGAACTGGCAGAATCACTGTTTTATGTTTGTTAAATGGACATGGTCTTCATGACTACCTGCTAAAGATACCCTTTCTTTATCTATGGCAAGTTTTTCTCAGCAGGGTGGTACTGACCCCCAGGGGGAGTTCAGAAGATGAAGGAGGGCGCTGGAAGCAATATTTTGGAAAGGGGGGCGCTGAGCTACTCTTCGGGGGCGTTTGTTGAGGTGAAAGTTTTAAGGCGAGTTTACACAAAATATTCACAACAATAAGACATTAAACTTTCAACTACTTGCAAAAATCTGTGGTCTGCAACATTAAAACCTGCCAGTTTACTCCACTGTGACTGAAAGAGACGCTGTGTATCGTAAGTCTTCTTCTCTTCAGTGTTTCCGTCACCTGCTTGTGGCGCAGCTCCGTGCTGCCTTTATGGGAATGGGAAGTCAAAGTTACTGTGTAAACTCTGGAATTTATCTAAAGAACACACTGTGAACGCCTTGTTATCACAGTGGTTACACATCTATAAGAGGGATGTTCCGCTGTCGGACTTCCCCTGAAAGCAACTTTGTCCAGCGTCCAGCACCTGATGCGACACCAGCGAGTGCTGTGAAGTGGACCCACCTCGCACTGTGTTTCACAGCCAGTTCATGCCCAAGCGGTAACGTGACTTGTAAAGTTTTAATAGGCTATAAAAATGCAGCCTCTCGCTGTTTGGGACTGTGCAGTTTATCATAGCTGCTGAAGTTGTGTGAATTTGTGGCGAGATTTCTGTCTGATCACAGGTGTTGTCGATTAGTTTTGTTTTGGTGAAAAGGTGCCACAATCACATTTAAAGTGTTTACTACAAACAAAAGACACAAAAGAGGAGGGATGACTAAAATTATGTGTATTGACTCAGCAGGGATGATATGAAATAAGTTGATCTACATGAGAAACTTTTTAAAAGCAAATAAGAATGCCTGAGAATGTACTGCATTTTATTCCATTATATTTACATATTTTAAATTGTCACCTGCCACCTGAATTTTGTATTTCCCTTTATAGAAATAAACAGGCAGAAATTGGAGTACAAATTTTCACCAGAATACAGGAAATTAAGTCTTTAAGGCTCAAAATCTACTGGGGGTGGACCCCCAGATCCCCAAGCTATTAAGTTCCACCTCCAAGAAAACAGTATCTGAGATCACACACACAGTTTCTGGGAGGACAATTACTTTTTAATTACATATAATTACTATTTGCCAGTCAATTGTGTGCTTTTTCATGTTTTTAAATAACAATAGTAACAACAATAATATTAAGAATAATAATCAACAAAAGGGCAAACAGCCATCATCTTTTTTGATGGGGAGCAGTAAGGGACCTGGATAGCAGGGCGCTGGCCCAAAAAAGGTTGAGAACCACTGATCTATGGATATGGACAGAAACACGTTTCTGCTGTTGCAAAAAGGGTTCTTTTAGACAAAGGCATTTTGTGAGCTCTGCTTACACGCAGATCACAAATGGTTGCAGCACCACATTTTACAAATAATGTAAACTCACAAATTGCACATAGATTTGTCGTACTGTAAGTAGCTCACACTTGGGCACTCGGGACGCTTGTTTTAATAATTGAAATGTGTCAAAATTAACATGAAAGAAAATGAAAGAATTCAGCAACAAGTTGCTCATACTGCAATGGGATTAACATTCATTTGCAATGCCAAACAAATAGGAAAAACATAATTTCTTGGAAAACAATGGTCCATCATTTAGTTGCAGTTGTTTGCGTATCTAACTTTTTGATTAATGCATGCTGACAAGCATTGATCACAGCTAGTGAGAATTATCAACAGTACAATAAACACTCAGCTTCTCTGTCTTCACACATTACAGTGAAGAATGCAGGGATGCATGTCAGTCCAACCCAGTGCAATGAGCAACAAATGACGCTGTAGACTGGAAGAAATAATTGCTGCATGGTTTGATGTGTGAAGGACCTGTGTGTGGAATACTTGAGGGTCACTTGCAGCTAAACTTTAAAAACATTTTTATCCTCATTTATTTCATTTTCTGGCCAGCCATTAATGTTGTCACTGGAGCAAGAGTTGACCAGCATTTTTATTCTTCAACAAAACACACACACGCACACACACGCACACACACACACATGCACACAAATGTACTGATGCACACAATAAAGGCTTATGCTCATGACCTCAGTTTTTTAGATATTTTCTACAAGGTTAAAAGTTTCACTGTGAGAGGAATAAAATTCTGGTAAGGAAATATTGAATCCCTTTTCCTTGGCTAAAGACAAGATACATACAGAGTCTAAAAAAAGATTGGCACAAGCCTAATAAAAAACAAACATGTCATTGTGATCTAGTAAAAACATGTATCTCCAAATATGGTTTCTGAACTGCCGAAGGATCCAGAAAGTCCTTCAGACTAAACGAACAATTATGTCTTTTGTCATTGCCTACCAAAATACAGAAGTGGAAAAGTACTCAGATTTTTTTAGAGGCTAAGATTGGTATTTTGTTAATCATTATCTCATGTTTTTGTGGCTATGTGACTACTTGGGACAATATTGAAATTGTTCCAGTACTGAGCGAGTGATCTGCAGTCGGCAGAATCAAAACAGGACTGCAATGTAATCCTTGTGGGCCATTGTGCCCCGTCAAAGTATGACCACTAAATATAACCCGTTATAAATAAAGGGCTAAATATAGTCTGCTTTTACCACTGACAGACTCAGATTGATATTATAAGTGTCTGACAACATTATGGAAATTATCCCCATAGATTTAGATATATAACTATAGACCTTTTAAAGAGTGAGATCCTTTGTGTTTAATCACAGTCGCTGTATCGCTCTTTTCAAAACTACCAGACTACCTTGACAAACGTAGTTTTATCTCTCTGGACTATCGCAGAATCAATTAGTTAGTTTTTTGTGTAATGCAACATTGGCATTTTTAGCCTTTTAAAACACCAAATTCACAGAATGACACAAACTAACTAAGCAACCAAGGCGATAGTAGACCAGCAACTCCCGTGTTCTGTGAGGTAAAATTAAATTTTTTGGTCTGGTGGCTTTGACAAGAGCAACCGGGATCTTACTCTTTAACAGGTCTATCTCTATGGGTATCCTTTCCATAATGTTGTCAGACACTTATGACCTAGCTTCCTTCATCTGACCATCTAATTATTCCCCCAGTGTAATTGGCTCTATGTTTCCCTTCATCTCCACCTCAACATGATATGTGGTGAGCCTTCTGGCACAAATGGCTGCTGTGCATTGCCCAGGTGGGTACTACACATTGGTGGTGGTTGAGATGATTCTCCCTCCCCCTGAAAAACTTTGTGTATCTATGATAAATTGATATATAAGTGTAATGCATCATAATTATTATTATTATCATCATTATTAATTTATTCATATATATATATATATTCAGTCAGTGGCAACCACAGGTTCAGATTATTATATTTACTGGCCATACTTTGACTGGCCACAATTGCCCGCAAGGATATGTAGCAGCCCCATTTTGAAATTGGTACAGCTCTCTCTCAATACTGGACCAATTTAAAAAAATACTGTCTCATTTTGTCTGCGAAGACATTACCACGGTGGCAGCGATGTGATGTGTTTTATGCCAACCAGCAGTGATTGGTTTGCCAGAGCTGAAAGGGGGAGAAAGACGCAGCAGCAAGTATAGCAGAGCCTTTACGTCATCAAGCTGTCGACAGTATTGTGTAATAGTTGTGCGGCGCTAATTTAAATTACTTTATATACTGCTACCTTGTGAATCCCGTCCTTATCTTAACTTGTAACATTAACATCATATTTTATTTGTGTATTACATTTTATTTATCTAAATCTACAAAGTAACTAGTAACCTAAATTATCAATTAAACTTATTTCAGTAAAAAGTATGATATTTCCCTCTGAACTGTAGTGAGGTATAATTATAAAGTATCAGAAAACAGAAACACTTGAGTAAAGAACCTCAAAATTGTACTCATATACACTACTTGAGTAAATTCTTACTTACCACCACCGCCAAAACAACCTATATGAGTGCTTCTCTGATCTGATGTCTGTTTATCTAAAACCAAAACACCAGACAGTTGATTCATATGTTTTCTAAAGTGCCACTGTTATTGATTAATTTTTGGTTAGGTTTAAACAGAAATATTTGGTTATGTTATGGGTAGGGAAAGATATTTGGTCGGCTGTTTGCCATAAATGTAAAATGTACAGGGCTATCTTGCTTTTTCAGCCCAATCATCCTCCTTGTCCTCCTCCCTACGAGGTTTTGCAGTGTTGTACCATCAAGCTATATTGGCCTTTGATCCGGACAGACAAAAGTCATAATTGAAATGGCCATGGGGATACTTCTGTGCTTTCAAAAGTATTAGCATCGTACTTGTAACAGAGAATTTTACACTGTAGTATTGCTACTTTTACTTAAAGTCCTGAGTACTTTTTCCACCACTGCCTGTACTCTAGAAGCTCACATGGTAAATTTTCCATATGGCACTAATCCCATATGTACTACAATCTTATGTCAAACTCACTACTGCTCTAAATTTCTCTTTTTTTAACACTATTTTAATTCGCTAATTAATTCAATTTGCTTCTACGCTGCTGTTTTCCCAAGCGTGGTTTAGTTACAGTCCATGAAACTAGACACTTCCTGCAGATTAAAAGCCTACAGGGAAGGGGATGAATCATGCCCTTTGAGCTGCTGGAAGGCTTTAATGTGAAACACCAAACCAGGAAGTGTTGAATTTCATTGACGGTAACTTACCCATTCCTTAAAAAAAAATGGCAAAATGGGAGCAACTGGAAATTATTACAGAATAAATCTGTTAGAGAAGAGAGAGAGAAAAGCAACAGGGAGGCCAGCATGACATGATTTTGTTGTTGCACTGATGAAAATAGTGCTGTTGAAATGGACACAGGACAACAGGTAAACATGGAGGGTATTTTGAGTTTATATCAACAGCAACTTAATATGGGAGCAGACTAGGAAACAGGGAGGACTTCTTACTAAAAATCTGATAAGATATACTTACAAAACAGGGAAATATGGGAATAAAGACCTGTCTAATATAAGCCTGTTTCAGATAAAGACATGGCTCTCTCTGCAGTTAAAGTAAATAAAGGCACTGAAAACTACTTGAGAATACATGGTAAACAAATGAGTAATGCTGTCGTTTTTCTTGTGAGGATGGTCTCAAAGGATTACATACTATTCTATGAGAAACCTCTCCAACCTTACAGGCTCACAAACCCCTTTATTATCCCTCTTCACAATGGAAACTGTATCTTAGGCTGATTAAACACCCAAATCCCCATTAAAAAATACAGTGGATCTGACTTCAGTAGCTCTGATCACCAGGCTCAGAGTTGTAGGTTAACAACAGTATGTACAGTGCTTACGTTCTACAAACATGCAGTAAAATCTACTGTGTAAAATCACCCACCTTCTCCTACAATGCCAAGGACTTCAAATTTATTCATCACATCACCGAGGGTGGGGGGTCCTCCAGCAGGTAAAATGATGTGCTCTGGTTTTAGTGAAGAGACTCCTGCTTTGACCGGCAGCTGACGGTAGCAGAGGCCTGACCACACCCCATCTTCACTCCTCTTCAACTTCGGCTTGTCTCTTCCTCAGTCTACAGATCTCTTCCAGCCTCACGTTTTTTAAATGTCAGTTTCTTTAATTTATGGATCTGACTCACGATGTTTCAGTTGTCTCTCAAACTCCCTTTATTCCATGTCTTGAGGTTGTCCGTCTCATGCGTCTATCCAAATCTCCACACAGTCGTACCTGGAAGACCAGAAACAAAATAAAAAAGGAAGGTGTTAAAATATGCTGTCAACATGGGTCATTCCAAGGTCCAAACACCAATCAATCCTTGCAGCGGTAGGACCTTGCAGTAGCATGCTGGTGATATTCCTGGCACAGATGGTGTCTAATTAGGACATATAGATGTACAGAAAGACATTTCCTTGAGGACACATTTAAATCACAGATGACGTCCACACACTCCTATCTAGTCCGCTCAGCCACACATTCAATATGAAGGATGCTGCAAAGGTCTAGAGTGAAAGTATAATGGCTAGCAGCACTATTAAGCCCTGCCTGCTTTGCACAGGTCTAACTTTGTAGTTCCCTGATATATCTAAACAATCAGATACATTGTCATGAAATTTTAAATATCTGAACAACAATTGGATGGACTGCCATACAATTTGGCGCAACTATCATGTTACCAAGAAGATGAATCCTAGGGACTTTAGTTCTACCCTGACTTATTTTGTTTTTTTTTAGTGAGATGTGTCAACGGATATTGGATGGATTGCTGTGTCAATAACTTAGGTGATCCAATACTTTAATTTATGACCAAATATATGCAAAACATGTTGACACTCCCAACACAATCAGCTGTCCTTTGTTTTGTGCTTTTATATACAGTCTATGGTGCTAACTGGCAAATGTTAGCATTCTAACACACCAAAATAAGATGGTGAACATGGTAAACACTACACATACTTAGCATCGGCACTGTCATTGTGAGCATGTTAGCCTGCTGACATTAGCATTTAGTTCAAAGCACAGTAGCCTCACACAGCCGCTGGCCTGGCAACAACGATGAACTGTAATAACTTTGGTGATCCTCTGACTTTTAATCTAGCACCTCAACTACACTTTGTATTGTACCCACAGCTCTCTGTTGCTGCCACATTCAAAATGATGGGCTGGAATGTGTGATAATTTAACATTCTCACATTCTTAAATACTAATATTCAGCCCGTACTTTGCTTTCTCCCCAAATTTATACACACTTACAAAGTGTTTTGTTTAAGGAAGAAAAATGATATCCAAAGGCTCCTTAGATCTCCTCCTGTCACACATCCAAATACTGTCCATGGTTATTAAATGTCTCTTTTGTGATGCGAATTCTGTTGGACTGGAACCATCAAATATTCTCACAGTATCAGTCCAACTTCATTTGTATAACACTTGATTTATTCAGCAGTGCACAAACACTTTTATGTTGATTTGGCTCATGTGCCTGTGTGGGCGTTTTCCTATGCAAGTCTTTTCATGAGAAGTGATTAGGTGGACTTTAAGGCCATCCATGGCTAGTCATTTAAGGATGTGGTGCTGCCACTGGGGTGTGATTAGAGCCATAGGCTACCTTACCTTGTCTCAATAGACAAATATAGCCTACTCTAAAAGCCTGCAACTGGAGCAACCTGGGGTGCATTAGTCCCTGTAGCCTACTCAAGGAAAATGTTCCTAAAAAATGGGTACAGCACAGAGTCAGTTTATTGACAAGCTGCTGCTTCTCCTTGCAGCTAAATGGAAATAAGGTGGACATCTCACTAAGAAAGTCCTGAAAATATTAAGAACAAACTGAAACATCAATCCTGCAACACACGCCTGTTGGTGTCTGCATGCAAAGAAAACCACAGGAGTGAGTGAGTTTAGGAGTGTGAATTTAATAGGTAGGTTCGTGCGTGCGTCGGCGTGTACGACAGTATGTGTGTGTGTATATGAGGTGAGAGAAAGAGGAAAGAGAGAGGGATAGGATAGTATCTTAATACTCTCTGCACCGAAACTGCGTCTTTATCGTCGCTGCGTTGCGGAGCGCACCACCATTCCATCGCTGTCCACGCGTTTGTCAGCCTACACAGCAACCAGTGCATACATTATAACGGTCTTCACGGACCAATGTTCACGACAGTGTTGCACAACAATACCCACAAATTGCGTTTACCCATAAGCCCATAATTAGACACAATTTCACGCACGCAAAGAACATAAGAAAATAAACCATCGCAGGCCGTTCATCATTACACCATTGAACCCCCTTTACCTGCAGATGTGATGTGATGTGTCGCCTGTGTGAAGTGTGAAGCACAGAGCATCATCTCCATGAAAATGATGATATGGGAAGACGAAGACACATCATGTGTAGCGAAATGACGGGGGGGGGCAAGCGCAAGGGCCTGTGCGTCGTGACACGATAAAATATGCTACTCACTCAATCTCTGGATGGAGATGAGACCGAATCCGCAGGCATAACGCCGATGACGGGGTATCCATGTACCGTCAACAGTTCTTCAGTGGCTCCGTGTTCATAGCCTCAGTATCAGCTGGTTATAGCAGCAAAATCGTCATTCCTCTGAGCGACGCTGCTGACAGCCAATAGAAACACGGACGTATGCGCGTTCCAGCGGTGGTTTTTACATCCATATGAGCTGTAATAAAATAAAAGTTTGGGATTTACATTGAATCCAGCACATTATTTGTTAAATCTTAAATAGGCCTATACCTGAGATTAATCATCCTCCAATTATACACAGATTTCACACTGCCGCGTTTGCAGTGTTGTTGCTTGCCCCCCTTTGGTCAATCCATGTTGTGTCACTGATTAAAAATCTCCCTGCAGCTTGTCTCCTCTCTCTCCCACCTACACCTCCCCTCATGACTGCACTAATTGGCGAAATCAGTGTGAATTCACTGGATTCACAGACACTGGGTCTGTTTCATAATGAGAAGGTGTTGTTTTGTATATATTTGGTATGCTGCAGCCACAGGCTGTTGCACGAATCACCTTCTTCCAAAGGCCATGTGTTCTGTGTTTGACCTCCACACCATCTTTTTAGCTCCTTTTCCTCACTGCAACAACGCTATTGTACAGTTGTAAAAACTCCTATTATTATAATCATATTAGTTTAGAGTTTAAATTTATGTTGGGTTAATGTATTCATAATATACATTCGTTCCCCTGTCCAAGAGCCAGTTGTGGAGGGGCATGTCTAGTACAAAAATACTACATTACAATAGGGTTAAGGTTAAAGTACATAATTATCAGAAATAAATAAAGAAAAATAAAAGTTGCCTTCTCATTTTGTAGATTGACCCTTTTAGAGTGCTATTAAATATATGCTGGATTGTATTACATTAACATTTAAGCAGCTTTTTAATGCTGTAGCTGGTTGAGATGGAACAAATCAATATGTACTATTGAATAGACTGAAATCCAACAATGCATCATAATTTATAAAATTGTAATTTATTGTTTATCAAAATCTTATAGGCTAAAGTAGCTGTCAGATAAATGTAGTCACTTTGTCTGGAATGCAGTAGAGAAAAGTATAAAGTAGCATAACATATTCAAGTACATACTGTACTAAGTGTACCACTACCCAAGTTTTCACAAGTGGGCAAATATGATGGGATAGAGTGTAGCCTGAGGTATTATTGTCAGCTATGGAGTGACATTTTATATTTAACTCTACAGTCGTAGTGCAGAGCTGTACTTGTAAAATGTGGAACATTTGGTCAGAGTTGTTGCCAGTGAAAAACTTTCTCACCTATTTGATGCCACATTTTGTTATTGGAGAGAAATTTATTTGGGTAATTAAAAAAAGTTGAAATAATTTATTTCACATTTTTTCAGTGACAATTTCACTACTGGAAAAAAAATATATATACATATGGAGTTTTTGACTTGAAACTTGGAGGTAGGTGGACATTCCAGTTAGTTATCTTTGAGGTAATAATCAGCAGCTGTGTTAAGTACAGTTACTCTAGTACTGTCTGCTAAAATTCTTAGGTCATAGTTTCCAAGGAGGGTTGATTCAGGGCAACTGGACTTTATTGAAAATACATGAAGATATTTCAATCATTAATAATCACTAGAAGATATTTCAAGTATTTCGCCTCTCATTCAAGAGGCTTTTCCAGTTCTAACTGACTGTCAGGGAGTCCCATGGCTGTACTTGAGACAAATCTGAGGTACTTGTACTTGTGTATTTCTATTATGCTACCTTATACTTTATTTCAGAGGGAAATACTGCGTTCTTTATCCTTCTATACTACAGGTTACTTTACAGATTAAGATTAAGTTACAAACAAAACATAGGCAGTTTAACATAAAATAAGACAAATTTTACTAATACCAGGGAAATTAGCTTTATTTTATTTATTTATCTTAATAGTTTATTTGAATAATCTAATAAATTAATATAAAACGTATATAATCAGTCCAAGAGGGACCATTCTGTTTAGCAGGGAAGGCCTACAATTTGCTGATAATACTTGTGTGCTCTTACATCAGTTTAATTTTAAATGCAGGACTTTAGTAGAGTATTTTTACACTATGGTATAACTTTTAAAAGGATAAAAAGCATTTGGATACTTGTTATAACATTAATAATCAGTCAATCCAGCAATAATCTCCATTAATTAGGCATGGTTCATGGTATTCTTACAACGCTTTAATCAACTAATGGCTTTTGGAAATGATCTGTTTTTTAAAAATGTTTCTTCATTACCAGCTACTGTTATGAATCTGACCTTCCAGTACCTGCAGTCTCATCACCTTCTCCTGCATGAAAAACAGGAAACCACAACACTTTATATGTTCATGTTTTCGTTTCCACACCACATGCAGTTTATTATCAAAACCCAACATAAAACAATATCCGTCTTAATAAAACGACTTATTGACAATTCCTCACCTCTGTCTTTGTTTTTTTTAAACCTACAGTGGAAAAATATGAATTACAGCACTGCGTGGTGGACATGCGCGGAGCTGCAGCGAATATGGCGGCTTGCATCTGATAGAAAGTGAGGAATCTCCCATCAAAATACCTTGTTCAAACGGTTGGTACGGCTCATGTCTCATTATTACTCTCATGTGCTGCCGATAAAGGGTTTCTGTCGCGTTTGTTTTTCGGGGCTGCGATCAAAAGCGGTCGGCTTTCCTGCTGTTCGTCCCTGCAGCGATAGATAGATGGCAGCGGGTGTTTATACTGTATCCTGTGCAGACGGACAGCTTGCTGCGTACAGTAGCGACATTGAACTCTGCAGATATCCCTTTGCTTCTGTTTTCTGGCTTCCTGCAGAGGATTACACTGCAACTAAAGACCGCGTTTGGCGTGGTCCTACAGCCTTGTAGCATCACGCTCGTTGCTATAACGTAACGTTAGCAGTCTTTAGCCTGTATAATGACCACTGTCCCGCCCACGAAATGTGACCGTAAACCAAATGAAAATGCGTCACAGACTTTTCTTCAGATTAAATTGTATCTTCTGCTGATTCAGGACTTCTCCCCCGAATCTCGATCCTGCAAATGACAGAAAGAAATGATCTTATTTATCAACCACATGTGCAACCTAATAGGCTACCACAGATGTGTGACGCAATTTAAGCTAAATGTTGGCACAAATTTGGATGAAAAATGTTCTGAAATGAAAGTTGTTGGATATGAAACCATATGCTAAAATACCACCCTGGAGGTGACGCCCTTCAGCGGCTCACACCCCTCTCCTGATTCCAAAGTGCATTGCCCGACAGAGGAAACACCAGGCAAGGGTGCTCGTTTTCTGTCTGGATTTGTAGGTTAATCTCATTATTGTCCAATATAATATAATGTTATTAAAAAAAGTGTTATCTCACAGAAGGATGTGCTGCAGGATAAACCCACATAAACTCACTTTGTCAACCTTTTTAAAAAGTCTTTTATGATTTAAATTAATAGCACATGTCATATAGTATCAAATGGAGCAGGAAATAATGGGGTGGGAGAATTTGCTTTATCCATAAATCTTTTGTAATTTCTCAAGCAAATGTCAAAGATTACCTATAGTTCCAGGTTCTGGGTTGTGAGGATTTCCTTAGGGCTGCAACTAAGACTATTTTCATTATTGATTAATCTGCCAATTACTTTCTCAATTACTCCAAAAGCACATTTTTTCAGTGCCAAAAGTGACATATTTAAAACCCACAGATATTCAGTTCATACTCCTATAAAACAAAGAAAAGCAGCAAAACCCCACATTGGAGAGACTAAAACCCCTCCAACCATATGAGTTAATCAGCTGATTGTTGCAGCACTATATTTGCTGCTTTTCTTTGTGTTATGTAATAGTAAACTGAATATATGGATTTTGATCTTTTTGATTGTACAAAATAAGCACTTTGGAGACAAAGTCAACTCAGGGTAATCTGTCTCCTTAACATAAACGTAGGGCAAAAATTATCTTGTGACCTCTGAGAAATTAAGGCCCTTTTCTACTTTGTTCTGCTTTTTAAAAAGATGTCTTTTAGTTGTGCAAAAATATATAAAACTCCTGTGGGTGTTAATTCTGCGTAATAACAAATGACAACATATTCATTTCATTACTTGTATTACTTTTATGTTGTAAGCATGTAAAAGAAATGTTCAAATGTGATCAGTCTTGAAATCAGTTCTTAATCTTTAGTTATCCATCAAGCAGAAGCACTGATCATACTAATTTCAGCTTCTCAAATGTCAGAATTTGGTGCTTTTCTCTGTTTTATTTAATTTGTAAATTGAATATTTTTGGATTTTGGACTGTTGGTCACAATACCAGCAATTTTAAGTTCTCACCTTTTGCTGTAGGAACTTGTGAGGGGAATTTTTCACGTATTTCTGACGATATCTAGACTTGCCTAATTAATTAATTGGAAAAACAATAGATTGATAATTGATTTGGTAATGAAATTAATAATTAATTACAGCCCTAGTAATAATGAAACATACTGAATTGACCTTCTGGGACATGCAACTTTAGGTGAAATTTATAGGTACCGTGCACATTGTAAGTATTTGTGTGAGTATCAAATATGAAAAGGTTAAATGCCTCATATTGAGGTTGAAATAAATGCATTACATTATTTTCAAGTTTCATGAAGTTTAAAGTTTTACATAGTTATTTTTTTTTCCACATGAGAAAAACTTCTATCATTAACACATTGACAGCTCCTCCTGTCAAGGAATAGTTACAACCTCTCTCTGTCAATTTTCAGAGCTTCTCACTGTTCAGGTTCGTGAACATTACACTAATCTCAGATAAGTGGCTTCCTTAGTGGAAATGGAGGCTGTAAAAATTAAGTGCTTCCTGGTCTGACGGACGGTTTTTGTCTGACCCTCTTGAGAGAGGCAGACAGACCAGTGCAAACACTGAGCCTGTCTGGAGCTGAGAGAGGAGCAGAGCTGGAATCCTTTTCATGTCGGCCGGCAGACGTCCCACATCCACACTTCTTAATGGCTTTTTATGGCAGCTTGGAATCTTTATGGCTCCTTCAGACTCAATGGGATTCGCTGCAGAGACAGAGGGGTCTTCAGAGGGAGGAGGGACAGCCGCAATACATTGCAGATGCTAAAATGTTTTAAACACAACAAAAGGAGACGTTCTCTGGCTTCTGGAAATATTTTAAGCTTTGAATTTCTGGATTTAATTTGGAAAGTATCACTTTTTTGATTCGGCGGTACCTTGGATTATTTCTCTGCTTCCCTTTGAGCTATGCACCGACTTTGCAGGGAGAGGGACTATGCTCAGAGTTTTGGTAAACCTCATTGTTTCGGCCAGATTTT